GCAAATCCAGAGGACAAAGGAGGGAGCTGCTTTTATAGAGAAAATGGAGGAGAGGGAGGGGCTGTCCTAAAGGAAAGTCCACTGGGGGAGAGGAACAGTTCAGGGTGACAACAGCTTCTCATTGGCTGAGCTGTGGCATTTCTCATTGGCTGAACTGCATTGTTTCTCATTAGCTGAGCTGCATTGTTTCTCATTGGCCAGGCTGTGTTGTTTCTGATTGGCTGAGTTGTGGTGTTTCTCATTGGCTGAGCTGCGTTGTTTCTCATTGGCTGAGCTGCGTTGTTTCTCATTGGCTGAGTTGTGGTGTTTCTCATTGGCTGAGCTGCGTTGTTTCTCATTGGCTGAGTTGTGGTGTTTCTCATTGGCTGAGCTGCGGCATTTCTCATTGGGTGAGCTGTGGCGTTTCTGATTGGCTGGGATGTTGCCAGGTGGAGAGGGAAATCTTCCTTGAGTAGTAAAGTAGAGGTACTTCCCTGCTACTTAGGAGATGCAAGTGCTTGTCTCTTCCCCTTTGGAGAAATTGACAATGTGAGATGGGGGTGAGAGCTCCCCGTTCAGGCCTTCCTGACTGCAATTTAGTTAAGGTTTCTTTCATTAATTTCCAAAGGAGCTTATGTCTTGGCCTATGGCTCCCTATTACCTGTGCCATAGGCACCAGGCGGTGAGCTTATCAGCTTCTTTTCCTGGACAAGCAGATCCGTCCTACCCTTGGCTGCAAGCGGTGAGCCCAGACCTGGTATCCATCCTCCATGGGGCGTGCTCAGCCCTTTTGCACAGGGAATCGCACTCTGGCTGTGCCTGACCTCCTAGAGCGGGGCGCCCAGTCTTCACCTTACACCCCTTCCTGAGTGTTTCCCGAAGGGAGTCATGCAATCTAGGGTTCGGCAGGTGTCCTACAGAGCCTGCTGGCCCAGTTCCCAGGGGGAGGGGGCGGTGGTGGGCCTCCAGCTTCCAATTACTTCTGCGTTTTCTTTAATTATTGTTCAAATAAATCTACATCCTCATTTCCCATTTTCAAACTTTTACTTTTAGAGACAGTACTGTATAAAACCACAAAACTGAAGGGAATGTTCCTGCAACTGCCTCCCAATTAGCCAGGCCCCCTTTTTCTGGAATTCATGACTCAGGCCCCTGCAGCATCCTGTTTAGTTCTTGGCTGGCCAGGCCCTTAGCTCTGCTCCACCCTGTTGCTTTTGCCCAGAATAGCTGTGAAATGCTTGTTGTAGTCAGCACCATATTAGGTTCCTAGCCAGTGACCTGTTGTTTCAGCTTATTCCACCAGTTGCAATTATTATGACTAAATTACAAATTTTGTATTTTATTATTTGGCAGAATATTTCTGGAAGGATATTCAGAAAACTGATAACAGCAGTTTCCTTTAAATTTGACCCATGTGATTGTATTTTTTGTCTGCTACAAAATAAAGTTTTAAAAAACTGAACTTTACACTCGGTCCATTATCAAAGTATTTTAGCCAAATTTTAAACCTTTTAGCCTATATGTTGCAAACAGCTTCAGCCTTAGTTTGTATTGGCTTGCCATGGAGTCCAATTTTAATTCGATAAACCTCTTCCTATTACCACATTGTAAAGTTTTAAGAAGAGAGATTATCTAATACCTCATCCATTCGTTTATTCAGAAAACACTTTCTTCAAGCATCTAAAACGTGCCAGACTTGCACTGAGGACTAGGACTGAATAAGACGCAGTCTTGTCCTCCATTGAGGGGTTGGCAGGGAGGAGGAGGGCTCAGAGGCTGCATCCCAGGGTGCGTGGGGGTTGGGAAGTGCTCCTGAAAAGGTGAAGAGGAGAGGAGTTTTTGAGGAGGCTGGGAACTATTCAGTTGGGGAAAGGCACACTGTTGCATTCAGTGGCTGACAGGCAGGCCTCCGTGTGCTTCCCTCGCATGGACCCCCCCTGAAGGAGGTACCATTACTGTCCCCATTTTACATGTGAGGAAACTGAGGCTCAGAGTCATTAAGTAGCCTGTCCAAGGTCACAAGCCTCGCTGGTAGCGAAGCCAACCGCCCAGGCAGTGTGGCTTCAGAACCCGCCTTGTTTCATCAATTTCGCATTCAGGAGGCGGAATACCAGGAAGAGTTAACTGAGTGGATGTGGAGATGAAGAGTGAGGAGGGAGCAGGATTCAGTGGAGATGAGGGGCAGCGGGGACTTCCATTCTGGACACAGTGGGTGTGCAGCGAGCTGTAGAAAGTTCCAGAGCTCCAAGAATGTGCACATAGAAGTCATTGGTTCCCAGGTGAGAGCGGACAGCTAGGCCGGGGTGACAGTGCTCAAGGAAGAGCCCAGTGTGAGAAGAAGGGGCGCCCAAACTGGGGGCTTGGCATTCACAGCACACAGGGGGTGCTGCACAGAGGGGCGGGGTTGGCGCCTCAGTGTGAGATGCCTAAGTGGCTACACTGACCCCATGGGTCTGAGCTCCTCATGCTGTTTGTGGGCCCCCTCTGTTGCCCCACTGCCACACACTTCCTGACAGACCAGTCTCCCCACCCCCGAAAAGCTATAATTTTATGTTACCTATTGAAACGACAGTATTTTGGATCTACTGGGTTTAACAAGGCACATGATTAAATTTTGTTTCACCTATTTATTTTCACTTTTCTAGGGGGGCTACTGGAGGTCCACAGTCACATCTGTGGCTCAGGTTATATTTCTATCGGGCAGCGTTGTGCTAGGACGGGAGCAACCACCCTCGACCTCACTGAGACCCCCAGTTAGCGTGGGTTCAGTCGGGAAAATAGAATCCACCCTGGAGGTTTCAAGCATCAGTAGCTGTGAGGGGTCATGTCCTCACAGAGGGCTGTTGGGGCACGGAGGTGGGAGGTCATGCAGACAACAGGTTGAGCACAAAGGGTTTTGCTGGCAATGGACTGAGGATCCCAGTGCACAGGGGAAGGATTCCCGACGTCAGGTCGAGTGGGAGAAGGGAGAGAGTAGGTATATGGCAGAGGCTTGTGGGAACTGGGACGCAGGAGAAGAGGGGTGGTCTCAGAATGTGGGCTTTGTGTAGTGACCAACATGAACAGAACAAGAGGCACAGTGAGCACAGTGCACCATCAAGATAGGGGACATGGGTTTCTGGGGCCCTCCTTTTCCCTCTCAAGAGGAAAAAAAGCTAAAGCCTAATGAGATGAAGTCTTAGCCCGGTGAGTTGGTTCATGCTGGACCCAGAGGGGACAGTCTTCTTCCAGGTCCTCACTCCAGTTGGAGGACAGGAGGACTAGGATGAGCCCAGGCAGGGCCCACGGGCCACGATCTTAGGAGACACATTCTTTATTTCTTAGTAGTTTATGAAACTCTTTCAGACTTTTCCAGCAGAGGTAATTCCGATTTGGCTGATTGGCTTAACAATGAGACCAGGATTTACCGATTGCATTGTTAGCAGACATTTTCTATAAATTAAGTGAGTTAAATATGCAGCTCTCCAAGGTGTGGGGAAAACGTATATAAAGCAAACAATAAAGGCATTTTTATTAAAAAGAACTGTAGGGGACCAGCTCATAGCTGAGTGGTTAAAGTTTTGCACACTCTGCTTTGGCAGCCCGGAGTTTACTGTTGGATCCCGGGCACAGACCTGCTCCACTCTTCAGCCTTGCTGTGGATGTGACCCACATACAAAGTAGAGGATGATGGGGCCACCCTGTGGCGCAGTGGTTGAGTGCACAGGTTCTGCTTCAGTGGCCCAGGGTTTGCCGGTTCAGATCCCGGGTGAGGACATGGCACCACTTGGCAAGCCGTGCTGTGGCAGGTGTCCCACATATAAAATAGATGAAGATGGGCACGGATGTTAGCTCAGGGCCAGCCTTCCTCAGCAAAAAGAGGAGGAATGGCAGCAGATGTTAGCTCAGGGCTAATCTTCCTAAAAAGAAAAAAGTAGAGGTAGATTGGCACAGATGTTAGCTCAGGACCAATCTTCCTCACAAAAACAAAAACAAAAACAAAAATGCAAAAAAAACTGTATCGACAGAAGTCCCTTGAAAGAGTAACTGATATAATTAATAGTGATTTAATGTATCTGGGTAAAGTTTTTCCCATAAACTTCCTAGAAACTGAGAAAGTGAATGATTCCAAGTGACTGGCTAGAAAATATTTTTGAATTTCAGGCAACTTCCCAGTCTTTGCTTTCAACAAAAATTGAAGAAAAGCCCAATCAGATTAATAGCTGATACAAATTAAATTAAAAAAATTGATGATAGATCAGTGTGTGGTTTTTGTATTTAACTAAAACATATTCAAGGAATTGAGTGACATTGCTATTAATTTTTCTTCATTTCTGTCTCCTTATTTGTGTGAACAAGTTTTCTGAGTATTTACATCTATAAACATGAAAAATCAGAATCAAATATTCATCCTTGGAAACATGAATTGATTGAAAAAATAGTGTTAACCATAGCATTGAGGTGTGTTTCAACAAAATTTTAGTTTTATATTTAGTAAGTACTTAAAATTTATGATTATTTATATGGTTTTGATCTATTTGTATCTCTAATAAATGTAAAAACATTTTCAATCCAGAGCATTGTGGTCATAAGATATTAAAAATACCAGTTTATATATTTATATATATATTTTGCTGGAGACATGATCTGCAATAACTGCATAACAAAAATTGATGTTACGGTTAGGACAGAATTACGTGGGAGTCACGGAATGGAAATATGAGTTCAAGAATTCCAGGTATCCAATTATTAAGAGTATTCAGATTTCGCTGGAAGTATATAAAGAGGGATGTCACAGTATTAAGAGTCAATCTTTACAATTATATCAAAGATTGCATCAGTGTCAGTCATTTAAGCCAATGATAAATTTACACGCCAGACAAAATGCCAGGATCCGAGCTCACGTGGAAGAGGCGGGGCCGCAGCGTGTGGGCGGAGCCCGAGCGTGTGCGCGGGGGGCGGGCGTGAGGGCGGGGCCCGAGTGCGGGAGGGGCGAGCCTCTCGCCCCCAAGCGGCTCCGCCCAGGAGTCCCCGGATCTCGCGAGAGCGGCGTGTGGTGACGCGCGGGCGGGCGGGCGCGCCGCGGGCGCCGGCGGGCGGGTTTGAATCTGGTCCGAGCGCGGGAAACGGCGGGTCCGGGGGACGAGGTGAGCGCTGTGGTGCCGGCCGACGGAGGGCTCGGGTTAGGGCGCCAAGAAACGGCGGGGGTCGGGCGCGTCGAGTCCCCAGCACCGCAGCCTCCGCGTGGGCCGCGATCCCGACTTGCGGCTCTGAGGCGGCCCCGGGAGAGGCGGGCGCCCGGGTCCTGGGCGCGCTGACGCTCCGTGACTTCCCTCCGGGACTGACCCCGGAGAGGACCCCTAGCCCTGGACCCGGGGACTGACCCCAGAGAGGACGCCCAGCCCTGGACCCTGGGTCTGACCCCAAAGAGGACCCCCAGCCCTGGACGCGGGGACTGGCCCCCAGAGAGGACGCCCAGCCCTGGACCCGGGGACTGACCATAGAGAGGAACCCCAGCCCTGGACGCGGGGACTGACCCCAGAGAGGACCCCTGCCCTGGACCCGGGGACTGACCCCAGAGAGGACCCCTGGCCTGGACCCGGGGACTGACCCCAGAGAGGACCCCTGCCCTGGACCCGGGGACTGACCCCAGAGGGGACCCCTGGCCTGGACCTGAGGAGAGGATCTCAGAGAGGATCAGTTCCCTGAGCCCTTGTGTCCTGGGGGAACCTGTCGCCAAGCGTCTCTCATCCTTTGTGGGAGGGCTGGAACACAGCCTGCAGGCGGTGACAAGGTGACAGGGATCTCCTTGTTAGTGCTCATCTTACCTCAGTGCCAGACCTCCTGCGTGAAGAGCAGCCTGCAGTGGGGACAGATAACTGCTGGTGAGATGATCCCTCTCCTTGGAACTGGCATCTGGCTGGAGGGGGAGGGCTTGTGTGCGAATAGTACAGTAGTGCACTTTGAGAGAGAGACTGAGTTGAAAAGGGAGTACCCTAAAGAACTGTAGTCGCCAGTGTCAGAGAGAACAGGGCAGCGTGGTCACAGACGTGGTCTGGTGGAAGGAGATTAGTGTGAAGGCGAAAGTGCCAAGGGAAGTGCTTGGAAAGAGAGGCAACCGGAAAAGTTACGAGGGTTCCCGAAAGTGGGGAGGGTTCACGCACTTGCCACTTTAGGCTGTTTGGTTCCGTGTGCTTGGCTGCACCTTTTTGGAAGGTTGTTTGTTTTTAACTCGTGAGCTGGTACTAGCCATTGTTAGTTGTCCAGCTTGTTGCTGGCTGCCCTCCCCGCCCGCTCGGCCAGTAGGAAGCTCTGCTTCACAGCTCAGACATCTGAGTTGAGACGTGAGGAGGCCAGACTTCATGGTGTTGCTTGGGGAAGTTATTTTTTTGGTTTAATTTAGACACTAAGATCTGGGGTTCTGTATTTAGGATGACTCTCTATCCCTGTAATTAGTGCCGTTGGTACCAATAATTTTCCATATTGCTCTTTTAAAGCGGTGCAGGAGGTTTTCAGTTATTTTTAAAGGGAGGGGTCCTGTTGTGTGCATGTTCCATCATTTTGCTATTACTTCATCTTTGGGTTGATGTCAAAGAGGGCAGTGCTAGCACCAGGTGGTGTAATGGAAAATAGGATTTATTAGGGGAAACACAGGCAGGGAAGGAGGTTGCACACAATCCCCTGAGCTCTTGTTCCTCGCAGGGGTGGGGAGGAGCGTGCTGTGGTTGGGCGCACCCAGTGCAGGTGCTAACAAGCTCCCAGGGGACCCCAGTGCCACACTGCATAACGAGGTGCCTGACTGGGATTCTTGACGGAGAGACGGCGCTTTGGAAAGGGCGGCTCAGGGTTCAGTGGCTGGGCCAGCCCGCTCTTTGCTGAGCTGACTCGCACCTGCCTGAGCATCTTGCTAAGGTACTAACAAGGGAGGGGAAGCGCGCCTCCTGGAGCCCCTCAGTCCTCTTTCCTTATTGGCAGCTTCATGAACAGTTGATAATAACACGATGTGATATTGATACTCGCCTCAGTAAAGAAAATGAGCACATTATTCTTTAGATATTGTAACTTGTTTTATGCCAGAGTATTGTTAGAAACTGTCTACCATAGGTGGTACAGGAATTTTCTTGCAGTTTTGGATGTTAGTAACAAATTACATCTTCTAGGAAGAGGTATATTTACAAATGTTGGTTTCAGTATGATTTTGTTTTCCACAGAGTAAATGCCTTATGAAGAACAGTTTCGTTTGTCATGGAAAAACGTGAGACATTTGTACAAGTGGTATCTAAGGAGCTGATTGAAGAATTTTTGCAATTCATTCAACTTGATGTAAGTATTGTGTTTAGCTTTATTGTGATTTTGACTGTTAATGTAAAACATTTTCTAAAATCATTATGTCTACAAATGAAATATAGTCAGTTCAGTGAATCCTTAGGAACCAAGCTTTATTTAAAAAAAAAACTATACTCAAATAGACCTGGTGATGGGCAGCTATTCACAAATTGTGTTTCCTCCTTTCTTTTAAGAAGGATGTGGTAAGGATGCTGAGTGATGGACGTGAAGTCATTCTATTTACCTAACAACTGTTTATTGATCTCTTGCTGTGTGTGTGGCATAGTGAGGAAAACAGATACTTTTTTGTCCACAGTTATTTACAGTGTTGTGGTGGATCCAGGCATGTAAATACAGCAGAGTGCGGGCTTGGCTGGGGCGGGGATACAGGTGGGACCCCAAATCCAGCCATGGAATGGTTCCCATCCCAGTGGGAAGGCTCTGGGAGCTCAGAGCTACAAGGTACACAGAAGTCAGCCAGTCAAAGGGATGTGGGGAGGGGCCCCGTTAACCAAAGGGGTAACTTTACAGACTGAGGAAGGCAGGTTGTGTTTGAACCTGAAGATGTTCGTAGGGCTGGAGTGTAGAAATGTGAGGTGAGGACTGGGCAGGAGCTGAGCCCTGGGGATGAGACCTAGATTACATCAGGCCTGCTTTGCCGTTTTAAGAAGTTGAGACTTTATCCAGAGAGACTTTATCTCTGCTTTATCTTTAAGCAAAGAGTCCCCTGCGTGCAAGAGAACAAAAGAGGGAGAGAAAACTAGTGGGCCAGAAGAGATAGACAGAAAAATAGGATTTGCCTTTTGGAAATATTGCTTCGGCTGCACATGAAGACGATTGAAGAGAGCCACAGGAGAAGCCAGAGCGTAGTGAAGAGTCTTCCCTTCATAGTGGTGGTCGAATTAGGACACGGAAGTGGGGAGACCTGGGTGCCTTTGTGAGATGTCAGGTGGTGGGCTGCTGGCACTATTGATTGACTGGATGTGCGTCAGGGGAAGGGTCAAGGAGCATCCCAGGTTCTGACTTGTAGTGCCGTTCAACGAGATCATGCACGTGGGAAGAAGACGGACTCAATTTGGGACGTGCTGAATGACTGCCCGAGGGACATGTCCAGGAGATGTCTGATAGGCAGGGGTCAGGCCGGTGCTAGAGACAGAAATTTGGACATCGTCAGCTCCAGCTGGAAGCTTAAGTCATGGGGATGCATAGGATCATCTCTGTAGTGTAGTAGGAGAAAAGGGGTCTAGGACAGAGCTCTGAGGAACCCCAACATTTAAGGTACCGACTATAAAATACTTGTGACCTTGGGGCAGAGGATGCATCCCTCACTTGTTCTGATCACGCAGTGAAAATCAGATTAGTGATAATTAGCAATTAGAGAGTGATAACTAACAATTTGCAGTAGGAGTGTAGATGATTTGTATTGATGTGCAATACACACGTGGTTTAAAGTCTAAAAGATTGTTGTAAACTACATACTATAGTGTTAACTAAAATCACAAACTTAAGTTGCTGATGATGAAGCTAAGTTAATATTAATTTAAAATTTAAAGGCAAGAATACAGCACTTGGGTGGCCCAGTCAGCACAGGATCACACTGGTGCTGTGATGACAAAACGTCCTTCTAGGTGCATTCGCATGTGGGGTCCCAGGAGCTGGCAGCTGTTTGGGGTGTGCGTGTTTTGTGTGATCCTGCAGCTCCACTCAGTTTTCTGAATTCTCCTGGGGATGAAATCCCACATAAGCAAAGCAGAAATTTGCCTTTTGCTCAAATTGTTCCCTAATGTATCTTTTGCATTGGAACAAATTGGCATTTCAAAACAAGTATTACAGAGCAGAGCCAACTGTGCCATACCCTGTCTTCCCTTTGTTTGAGGGTCAAGGATCAGTGTTGGGAGTAGAGGACTCAGGACTGAAGAGAGTCACCACTTAACTGACACGTCCTGAGTGCCTTCTCCTATGCCAGGCTCTGCTCTGAGGGGTGGGATACAGCATACAAAGCAAAATTTCTGCCCAAATGGAGTTTATGTTCTGGTGGTGGAGGGAGAGAAACAAGAAGACAGGTGTGTATGATAATCAAGCAGGGTAGAGGATGGGAGTGGCGGGTGGTTTTGATAGAGAGCTAGATGGGCCGTGTGGAGGTGGTGGAGAATTCTAGACAGAAGGGTTGGGAGGGCCAAGAGCCTGAGGCAGGCGCACTCGGGCACAGCTCAGGTGTGGACTTCCTGAGAGGAGGAGGCAGGAGTCAGGATGGAGACATCCCCTTAGAGGGCCCTGGAGGGGCAGGCCTGCCCTCTCCTTTCCTGTTGGAATAATTACAGAGTTAAGGGAAAGTTGCAAGAGGAACACAAAGGAATCCTGAATGCCCTAGTGAGCTGTGCTGGTCGTTGCTACCCACATATTTTCCTTATCCTTCTGTGTACTCACACGTTCTTCTGAATCACCCAAGAGTCAGTGCAGGCACTGTGTCTCATTATCCCTAAAAATTTCAGTGTGTATTTTCCTAGAACCAAGGTATTAGATAATCACAATAAAATCCTCAAAGTCGGGAAGTTTGGCATTGGTACAATATTTTACCTGCAGTGCCTGCATTCAGTGGTCTTGACTTGTTAGTTTTCTTTAATCTGGAGAGTCTCTCAGCCTTACTTTATTTTTCATGATGTTGACAGTTTTGAAGAGTGCAGGCAGCTATTTTGTGGCATATCCTTCAATTTGCATTTGTTTGATGGTCTGGTTATTATTTTATGTGTTTTGGCAGGAACTACATGAGTGATGTTATGTCCTCAGTGGAGGGACGTGGTGTCAGTTTGTCCCATTATTGGTGGTGGTAGTTTTGATCAGTCTCTGAAGCTGCTCTTTACTCCTTAATTAGTAAGTCATCTGTGGGTGACGAAGGTGAGACTAGGTAAATACCCTGCTCCTCATCAAACTTCTACCCACTGGGTTTAGCATCCATTGATGATTCTTGCCTGAATCAATTATTATTATAATGGCTATAAAATTGTGATTTTTTCCACCTCATATTCCTTCTGTATTTAGTGATTGGCATTCTGTAGCATGCCACTACTATTAGCTAATTGTCTGTTATTTATTTACTCATTATCAGTATGATCTCATTGATTCTCATTTTGTTCAATGGGTTATAATCCTTTGCTGTCACTGTTTTGGTACTCATTGTCCCAGATTGGCTATAGGGAGTCCCTTTAAGCTGCATTCTCTACCCTTTTGATAATGGCCTCTGTTTAGTATATTAAAGAGTAGATGAGGTTGTCTGCTCAGAGTGAGAGGAAGTGGTGGATGGCTCAGAGGTTTTAAGGATAGTTAAGAGGATCTTGGCTAATGGGAGAGGAGGCTGTCTAGAGATGACTAGAGGGTGGGCTTTGAGGGCCCAAGTCAGATTGGGGACTGGAAACTTAAAATGCAGTCACGTGGCATGACCATATTATTATTATTGTTGCTGTTATTGTTATTTTAGCTCCAGCATACTTTTGTAACCTAGTTATAGGCCTGAAGTTGGTGGACATCTGGACAGATTGATCTTAGAGAGGATTTTGCTAAATTGATTAAATTTTAAGCTCTAAAGATGAGGATACTAGGGCTGAATAGTTGGAAGAAGAATCTGCTACTTTCTGTCTGATAATTCCTGTGCTTTTCCCTTTTAGGAGTGGATTTCAAAAACTACAACCAAACTCTTGAACTTGTCACTAAGTTAGCTCTTAATCTTTTCTTTTGACGCCATTATAAAAAGGGTAGAACTAACTTTTTGTATTTGAAATGTAATACTTGCTATTTATTTTACAGAAAGATGCTTCTGACCCTTTCAACTTAAATGAATTACTAGATGAATTATCAAGGAAACAGAAGGAAGAGCTATGGCAACGTCTCAAGAGTTTATTGACAGATGTGTTGTTAGAGAGCCCTGTGGATGGGTGGCAGGCAGAGGAAGCCCAGGGTGAAGATAATATGGAAACAGAGTGTCGTGCAAAAATGGTAGCATTGGTCTTTCAAAACTAAAAATTTTTCCCTTTTGTTTGTTAAAAAAATAATTGTTTATTGAGTATAGTTGGATTTTAAGTTAAGGAAAAATTTTAAATTAGAAGTCAAGAATATTAGAAGTGTATTTATTGTAGTTTCACGTTTTCCAGTCCCACCCTTATTAAGATACTGTTCAACATTGCTCTTGTTTTCAGACAGCAAACTTGTATTCAACTTAATAAGCTAGAAATGTGGCTTGATTTTTATAAATTTAGTAATTTTTACATTTCTCTTAAAAATTGAGTTTTAAGTTGATTTTAATTTACTCATACTTTGATTTTTTTCATTTATAGAAAAAAAACATAGAAATAATTCATGCAATTACATCTGTGATTCTTGCTTCTGTGTCTGTAATAAATGAAAATGAGAACTATGAAGCCTTACTGGAATGTGCTGTCATATTAAATGGTAAGTTGACTTGTTATAATGCAGCCTATTTAGAAGTGGGGCATCTAAATAAGGCTCTGCAGAAGGAAGCCAGTGGTGAACTAGAGGCAGAAATGAGGCAGGACTTTGCCCTCAAGCTCTTTACTTCAGCTAGAAAAGGAGGAGGAGTATTTTATGAGCTATCCTGAGTAGTTAGTTTAAGCCACATATGAATGTTTTAGATGGTGAGAATGCTATTGTTTGCAGGTTTTTCAGGAGTGTCTATTTGACCTACAGGACCAATGAAAAATAGGAAATAATCAGGAAAAATAGTCTGATTATAACTTTCTCTGCTGGTGGTTACTGCCAAGTAGTTTCAATTTAATCAAGCATTTATGACATTGAATTTTTTTCTTTAAATGTGTTTTGAACACGACCTGCGGAATAATTGATGACTCTTAGGAGAGCTTTACTGTACTGAAATTTATATCATGGTACTTTTCAAGTTTTAACTAAACTGTAAAACTGTAGTTATTAATTTAGGAGGAAAACTAGTCTGAGTTAATGAGATGATCTGATTATGAATATTTATATAAAATTATTTTATAGATATAAAAGATGTAAAAGTAATTTTAAGTAATGATTTTTAAGAAAAACCTCCCAAGTACCCTCACCTCTCACTATGTGAGTATAATCGGTTCCGTGTGACAAATTCTCTCATCGAGTTTTTCACTCTCAGCGTCACTTGGATTTATACATCTGTTTAGAATGCTGTTTTATTCAGAATTCTTAAATTGGAATACAGCGTTTTATTAAGAAGTCATCCCTAATCAATGCAAAAAAGCTCCGAAATGTGTTGTGAGTGTTACTACCAGTTTGTTTATTTGCACAGTTGCCACATAACTTGCATAAAATGATTAGTGCTAATACTGTAGTTGCTCCCAACTTCCCATTAATTTGGGAATTTTACATTAGTATAATGGCATTCAGATATCTATGGATTATAATTATGAGCACATTATTAATAATTTAATTCTTGAGCTTTTCTGTTAATAAAAGCACTGCAGTTTTTGTATTCATTATAATAGTTGATTTTACTTGTTTTCACCAATGAGCCATACTTTGAGGCCAGCACACTGAGGGATAGTTGTAGTGGATTAGCCATCAGTAGACCTGACCTGGCTCTGGGGTTAAGTGTTCCCATGGGCGTCCTTGCGCTTACACTTGGGTGGCCTCGATGTCTGCCTCTCTTAAATTAAGGGTTTGGGCAATATGACCTCTTTTAGTCTTCCAGTTCTAAAATTCTCCATTCTACTGGATCTGCCTTTATAACAGTAGTAAAACAATTTTTTTAATTAACATCATTTGTATTCTATAAATAATGTATATAAATCTTTGGTGAGTTAAACTAATTTTTGCTTAATGGACATTTGTAAGTCATAGCGCTCTACACTATTGAACCTGAACTAATACTGATTTACTTTACTAGTTGAACAGTCACTGTGCTCTGTTTCAGGTATTTTATATGCGTTACCTGAATCTGAACGGAAGCTGCAGAGTTCCATTCAGGATCTGTGTGTTATGTGGTGGGAGAAAGGCCTGCCTGCCAAAGAAGACATGGGGAAGACGGCTTTTATCATGCTGTTAAGGAAGAGTCTCGAGACTAAAACAGTACGTTTACTTTTTAAAATATATACTTTACTAAAAAGTGCGTGTCTTTATATCAGTTAGGAGTTGTGCTTGCTTGTGAGTGGGCTGACTGCAGTGGCCTCCACAGCAGGGTTTTTGAACTGTAAGCAGTTTGGAGGTGGGCGCTGGGGTGGGCAGCAGCTCCACGTGGTGGTCGTATGCAGGCTGTCTCCTCTTCTCCCTTGGTGTGTGGGCCTTGTCCTCTCTTGTGTTGCTTCATGGTTGCAAGGCAGCTACTCTACCTCTCCCCTTTTTTTTTTTTAAAGAGTTTATTTTTCCTTTTTCTCCTCAAAGCCCCCCAGTACATAGTTGTATATTTTTAGCTGTGGGTCCTTCTAGTTGAGGCATATGCGACGCCGCCTCAGCATGGCCTGACAAGCGGTGCCATGTCCGTGCCCAGGATCCAAACCGGCAAATCCCTGGGCTGTTGAAGCAGAGCACTCGAACTTAACCACTCAGCCACTTGGCCACGGGGCCAGCCCCAACCTCCGCCTTCTTGTGTGAGTTCCAGGCAGGGGAACAGCAAGGGCCAGACCTTCTCAGAAATTCTCTGCTTATATCCAAGGCCAGAGTCTGTCACCTGGCCACATCTGCAAATGGAGATTGAGCTTTTAAAGGGATACGTTGCCACTGTTAACAAAAGTGGGGATCTTTTTAGTAGCAAAGAAGGGATGAGACACTGAGATAGGCGATTGGGTGTAGCTGCCTGTGTTGGTGTGGTCTTCTGAGAGGCAGATCCCACGAGGGGATTGGACGGGATTGGATGTGCGTGGTGATGGACAGAGGGGGCAGGAGTCGTCTTGGAGAGCCTTCAGACCCAGATTCAGGTGCCACTCCGTGGGGGTGGGCAGAAAGGCAGGTGGGGTGGGACTGTTTCAGACCTCAGCCCAGATCTGAGGAAGTTCCCACCAGGCCAACAGAGAGCGTGTTTGACGATTGGATGTGACTTGGGCTGTTTCTCATCCTTTAATCTTTGGTGTACAGTTCAGAAATCCAGAAAAAGAACAGTTTTTCCCTGATCAAGACAGCAACAGATGCTTATGTTCATCCTAGAAAATTAGACAAATGAAAGAAAGGGAAAATGAGGAAGATAAAAATCATCCACAATTCCACCACCCAAGGTGGTCTTTGTTGTTTTAGGGATATTTAGGAATTTCTCTTTGACTTCCTCCCTTGTATCTTTATTTCCTTGTGAGAGGTTCCTAGAAATGAAATTCGCAGTTTGAGGCTTGGAGGTTTGAGCTTGGAGCTCTTGAAACACATTGCCAACAACTTTCTAGAAAGCTCGTACCTATTCACATTCCCCCATCCGTGGGAGGTCTGTCTCACTGTGGCCTCCAAGGAGGATTCGGGTTTATGCAGCCTCAGCTAGCTATCTCACTTTCCCTGCTGGCCATAGAGTGATGAAAAACTCTTGTTTGTGTCAGAATTTATCCTTAAGCCATCATTTGTTTGTCCTTTTTGTTCCCTCCCCAAAGACCCAGTGCACAGTTGTGTATCCTAGTTGTGGGTCCTTCTAATTCTTCTGTGTGGGACGCTGCCTCAGCATGGCTTGATGAGTGGTGCTAGGTCTGCACCCAGGATCCAAACTGGTGAACCCCAGGCCACTGAAGTGGAGTGTGCAAATTTAACCATTACACCACTGGACCAACCCTATTTATCTTTTTAAAATCCATTTTCCCTGCCATTTTTGTTTAGCTTTTAAATCTAGACTTTATTTAATGTCTTTGTAGTATTCTACAGGTGTGCTCTTCAATACGGTAGCCACTAGCCACATGATGTTATTTAAATTTAAATTTAATTTAAAGTTAAGAAAATTAAGAATTCAGTTCTTCAGTTGCACCAGTCCCATTTCAGTTGCCCCATAGCCTGATGTGGCCAATGGCTACTGCACCAGTTTGTGCAGACTCAGACATCTTCATCATCACCCAGAACACTGCCTGGCAGTGCTGGGTGTCAGTATCTCTATCTGCTTTTGCCTGTGTTTTAAAAAAATGTTCTTGAGAGCTATAAGTGGTATTCACAACTTAAAATCTATTTTCTCTTGTCATTATTTCTTCCTTTTTGATGAATAATCTAGAGTTGTAATTATTTATGATATAAAATATTCTTATAGTTAATTTGAAATGTACCTTATTTAAAAACTCTGTTTTTCTTTTTTATGTCATTCCTAGGGTGTTAACATATGTCGGCTTTGGCATATTCATCAAGCTTTATATTGCTTTGATTATGATTTGGAGGAAAGTAGAGAAATTAAAGATATGCTACTTGAGTGCTTCATAAATGTTAATTATATCAAGAAAGAAGAGGTAAATAGGTTTTTCTTTTTTGGTGTGTTTGAACTGCTTTTGAGTGGATGTTCTCCTGAGCTCATGTGGTTGCTGTTTGTACCCTGCTCAGTGTTTTAATGTTAATGAGAGAGTCAACTTAGCTATCAAGAGCTATTTCGTTTATTATACGTCATTTTTACTGCATGGCAATATTAAGCAAACATTTTACAAGTCATTGCTTATTTCATCATTAAATCAGATGGTAACAGGTGGCATTGTGAATCCTGAAGGAACCATGATTGCATGTTAAATTAAGAAAGATTAAAAATAAGGCTGAGAAAGCACTTCCCCATGGATCAGATCTGACCCTCTGCCCTAATTGCAGGTTAATTGGCATATACTCAAAACCATCATCACACACCATTGTGTATTTCTTTTTTCTACCCATCACCCAAATCCAAAGAGAGGCCTCTGGCCACTGCTGCACTGTCCATTCTGGTGGTCACTCCCACATGTGGCTACTGAGCACAAGAAAGGTAGCCGGTCGAATTGTGACCTTAAGTGTAAAATACATATGGATTTGAAACTTAGGATGAAAAAAGAATGTAAAATATCTCAATACTTTTTATATATTTATTACATATTTAAGTGATGATATTTTGGATATATTGGCTTACATATATTATTAAAATTAATCTTTTACTTTTATTAATTTGGCTACTGGAGAATTAAAAATTAGAGTGGCTTGCATAGTTCCATTGGACGTGGCTGATCTGTGTCTTAGGATTCTTCTGTAGTCATTTACTGAACGTTGATGATATTCCCAGGCTAGGGGTGCAAAGAAGAATATTGTTTATATTGTAGAATATAGCCTTTGTTTTTGATTGCTTGTGGCCTAGCAGACACATATTTGAGGCAGAAGGAGGAAGTCATCCCTCCTCCCAGAGGAGCAGGATGAATACCAGTTCTGAGGCCCACGAATGAAGAAGTTGCTCAAGGTCTCACAGCTAATCAGTGGTAGAGACAGAATTTGACCGATCCACAGTGCACTGTTGCCAGCCAGCTAGGTTAAGGAGCCATATGTGATTACTGACCGTACTGACCAAGACCTTGGGCTCCCAGGGTGTGTTGAGATCCCTGTCCAGTCACTTTATGGGTGGTGACCTTGGTCAGACTAGTTTCAACCTCAGCATCTCCTGTAAAACAGGAGCGACAGTTGCTCTCTCTCAGGACTCCAGTGAGGAGCACATGTGGGCTGCGTGCAGAGCCTATCAAGTGGCGCCTGGCAGGTAATGAGCAGGCCGGAGGTGCTCTGATTGTGCTTATTGCTGTTGTTCCTCATCCTTGTTGGAGAAGGTGCAGATGCCTGGCCTGTGCCCTAAGCATCTCCAGGGATTGTTATGAAATTTGGGAAGAGTAAAGAAGTGAAGAGTGGATTCAGACAAACTTTGTTTGTATTGACTTAGACGTTGGCAGTTGATGAATTGCATTTGTTTAACTTATAGGTATGTGTCAGTACATAGCATAGACATAAATACACATGTGTGCATGTTACTACTTCCTTTTCTTAAGAATTGGTATGTTCTTTTGAATTTAAGATATCTTAACTTAGTTTCCTAATCAGTCATTAATTTAGTCAGGTCAGTTTCTGGTCATTCTGGGTAAACAATAAATATCTTGTACTCTACTGGCAAATTACTTCCAGTGAATACTTTTGTTTTTAACTTGGCTGTTTCAAGCTTGGTTCCCCTGCCATTTGTACCAGTGTGTGGCATTTCTGTAGGACTCCAGAGACAGTAGTGGTGTGCTGGTGAGTGACAAAGAGAGAATGGTGCTGTTCACTGGGAGGATTCTTGGCAGATGTATTTCATGCACTCTCCAGAGTGTAAATACTGTATTTTTGCTTTTATGGTCATCTGTATAATCTAGTAGCTTGCATATAAATTAACATTACATGATATATGTATGACATTTATAGCTTAGGGACTGCATGTATTTGAGAATTGTAGCTTGCAAACACTTAGCCTCTTAACTTTACAAGTCCTCAATTTTCTTATATGTAAAAGATGACATGAACTGGTGTTCAATTCCATTCCCACCCCAAAATGCTGGATTTCAAGCATTCTTTGATTTTAGGTTATGTAGATATCCATGACAGAGCCAGAATGACAGGACCATTTAACTTAGCTGCTGGGCAGCATGGTAAATGTCTGTCTGTGTAATCCTGTGGTGGAGCAAGGGAGGAGCTCAAGGGTGTCTGCTGCTCGACCCTCAAGAGGGGAGGCCCAAGCCCTGCTGCCTGACTGTCTCTCTGGGACTCCCACTGCTGTCCCCACACAGGAGCTGCCACCGGAGGTGCTTTTCCCAGCACAACTTCAGTGTGTAAATTCTAAGTTATAATTATGTACACTTCCTTTCTTAGGAATAGCAAACTTTAGCATTATTAAACATCCAAAAAGGATTCTTGGTTTGTTTTCTAGTTACTGGGAACTTTTTATTTGGTTGCAATTTTAACATTATATCCTATATCCTATTTTTTAATTTATAGGGGAGAAGATTTCTTAGTTCTCTCTTCAATTGGAATATAAGTTTTATTAAAATGATCCATGGGACCATTAAGAACCAGTTACAGGGATTACAAAAGTAAGTATTAAAAGTAATTAATATTTTGTGGTATCTTAATCTGGTTTTGAAAGATCCTATTTGACCTGACCTTCAAGTTATATTAATGTGTTAGAAGCTTTAGAAATTATCTCTTAATTATTTATTATGTAGTGTTGTATCACTGGATAGTTTTTTTCCTGCTATAGGAGATCATTCTTTTTCAGTAGTGACATTGAAATTAGGATTTTAATTGTGGTAGTTCTATAAATAGATTATCTACCAGTTAAATCTCAGCCTCAATCCCAATCAAGCCTGTGTCACTACACTTTTGATACCGTTTGAAGTGGTGCCTCCTGGCTGGTTTGCCCGGAGTGTGGTGTGAAGAGCCCTGTGGGGAAGTCTCAGATGCGCTCTGGCCGAGCTCCCAGCCTCCTGGACCCAACAGTGGTCAAGCTGTCATGGCCTGTTCACTGTTTGCCAGGGACAGGGCTGGGCGCTTAATCTGTTCTGGGCTGAGTGCTCAGTCTGCTTTTTAAATTGCATCCTCACACTCTCAAGGTGAGCTTGCTTCCTGGACCTCCCTCTGTCAGGCAGCTGTGTAAATACTGGCTTGGAATTTGGTTCTGGATTTCTACTTGCAAAGCTCCTGCTGTTTACTAGAATGCTTCCTCCTGTCTCTTTATTTGCAGAGTATTTGGATTGAACCGAGAGATTTCTAAACCATGATCCTGAAATCCACTCTGGTATTTTAGGGCTCTCCGAACCTGAGGGAATTAATAGCCTGGAAAACCCAAAATGACTCCAAGTCAAAAATTTATTTATATTTAAATGTTTTTTACCTAAGAGTTTGGTTCTGGGCTTGTATTCTCATAGTTTGACAGAAAATAAAAGTTCTGAGGAAGCCTTGACTGAGAAGGAAGAAAATAGTTTGATAATTCAGTTGTTCTTCTCAAAACTTTCTCCTTTTTCTACTTTCTGCTACTATAGATAGTTTGCAAAGCTCTAGTCTAAATCGAATCTCTTCTTCCCTAGGATAGAAGAGTAATCTGAAATGATATACGTTAAAAGTATAATTCTGTGAACTTGTATTAAAAGTTTTTAATTTTTATTTAAATAGATCTTTGATGGTACACATTGCAGAAATTTATTTCAGAGCTTGGAAAAAGGCTTCAGGGAAAATATTAGAGGTATGTTCATTTTGTTAAATGTTTACACATTATTATTATTTTCTAGTTAATAAATAATCATGGAAGGGTCTATGTTGGTGCTGTCTGTCAAAATAAAGCCAAATAATAAGAACTTGTGTCACAGAGATGTGACGTCGTCTTCACTCTCCCTCATGTTCATTTTCGTGCTTGAGTACAGCCCCAAGATACCTATGACTCGGTGAGATATGCACGCAGTTTGAGTGAAATCGGGATTTTACCCTTTATCATTTTGGTAGCTCTAGACCTCTACTGTCCGGCCACGTGTATTGGCTGTTTGAAATCTGGCCAGTCTGCATTGAGATGTGCTATAAATGTAAGAAACATACCAGACTTTTTTTTTTTTAAAGATTGGCACCTGAGCTAACAACTATTGCCAGTCTTGTTTTTTTTTTCCCTCCTGCTTTTTCTCCACAAACCACCCAGTACCTAGTTGTATATTTTAGTTGTAGGTCCTTCTAGTTGTGATATGTGGGACACCACCTCAATATGGCCCAATGAGTGGTACCATGTCCGTGCCCAGGATCCGAACCAGCGAAACCCTGGGTCGCCGAAGTGGAGTGCGCGAACTTAACCACTCAGCCACAGGGCTGGCCCCAGAAACATTCCAGATTTTGAAGATTGAGTGTGGAAAAGGAAGAATGTAGAATATCTCATGAATATTTCTTTAAAATATTGATTACAGGGGCTGACCCTGTGGCCTAGTGGTTAAGTTCGGTGTGCTCTGCTTTGGTGGCTGAGGTTTGGTTCCTGGGTGCAGACCTACACCACTTGTTGGCGGCCGTGCTGTGGCGGCAACCCACATATGAAATAGAGGAAGGTTGGCACAGATGTTAGCTCAGGGTGAACCTTCCTCAGAGGAAAAAAAAAAAAAGATATATATATATAGAGAGAGAGAGAGAGAGAGAGAGAGATTGCATGTTGAAATGATAGTGTTTTGGATATATTGGGCTAAGCAAAATATATTATTGAAGTAATTTTACCTGTTTCTTTTTTCTGCCTTTTTTTGGTGAGGAAGATTGTTCCTGAGCTAACATCTGTACCAGGCTTCCTCTATTTTGTATGTGGGACGCTGCCACAGCATGGCTGGATGAGCAGTGTGTAGGTCCATGCCCAGGATTCAGACTGGCAAACGGTGGGCCACTGAAGCGGAGCATGCAAACCTAACTGCTGTGCCATTGGGCGGCCCCTCTTTTCTCCGTTTTTAATGTAGCCACTCGTAAATTTAAAATTGCATTTGTGGCTCACATTCTGTTTCTGTTGGACAGTCCTACTTGGGAACCTCAAGCCACCTCTGCCGTTACATGATTTTTGAGAATTTAGAGACAGTCATTTTGAATATGGCTAACCTTTAATGACTGTGTAATATCTATATGATGAAGATATGACTATATAGTTCACAATCATAATGAAACATTCAAAGGCCCTTTTGGGAAAAAGATCAAAAGAAGGTATCTTTGTCTGATATCTCTTATATTTTTCTAATACTAGGTTCTCAAATGTTTTCTTTCCCTCTGAGAGTAAAATTTTTACTCTTTAAGTCAAAAAAGTGTCTTTCCTCTTTGGGAGCAGGCCCTGACCTGGGGGGAGTTGCTGTGCAGGCTGAGGGGGAGGTTACCTGATGCTTGAAGTTTGTTTCTGCTCTCCTGCCCAGTGTAAGCTTGGTTGATATTGCCAGGGTTTATCTGACCTCTACTTCTAGGAAACAAAAAATTATCTCTTGTACTCCCCTGCTGATAACTCATAGAATCGTTTTACAGTGTGTAATTTTTAAGCAAAAGCGTAAAACCAGGACATTGTTATGCATTTTTTTGCATTGTTTTATTGCTGCATGAAACTTGTTCACATGAAGGAATATTTGTCCCCCTTTTCTCTGATAGTGATTTAAAAAAATGGGAGTTTGTAATTAAAAACTTAATTATTTGACTAGATATGTACCAAATTAGTACAGTAATTTGTACTTCTTAGTTTCACTCCCTTCCCTCTTTCCTCTCTTGCTTCAAGTTTTTTTTTTTTTTTTTTAAAAGATTTTATTTGTCCTTTTTCTCCCCAAAGCCCCCTGGTACATAGTTGTGTATTTTTAGTTGTGGGTCCTTCCAGTTGTGGCATGTGGGATGCCGCCTCAGCATGGCTTGATGAGTGGTGCCATGTCCGCACCCAGTATTTGAACTGGCAAAGCCCCTGGCCGCTGAAGCAGAGGTTGCGAACTTAACCGCTCAGCCACGGGGCTGGCCCCCATGCTTCAAGTTTTTAAAGCAAATTCTAGACATGACATCTCATTTCCGTGTCCATAAGTATGCATCTCTAAAAAATATGGTTATGCAATGCCATTATCCTGCTTAACAAAATTAGCCGTAATTTGTGGGTATTTTTTAAAATAATCAGGCCCTGTTTAAATTTCTCTGCTTTGTTTCGAAAACATCTTTTTACAGTTTTTTTGGAATTGGGATTCAAGTCCCCCTGGTATTTGCTTGTTATATCATTTAAATCTCTTAGAGCATTCCTTGTTCCCTCCTTTTCTTTTTTTCAAAACCTATGCTACTGGTATGTTCAAGAAGCTGGGTTGTCGTCCAGTAGAATGTCCACATTCTGGTACTTAACTCTACAGCTTCGACTTTTGTGGCACAGACACTTGACAGGTGGTGTGAGTGTCTCATATTTCATGACAAGTCAGACAGTGTGTGGTTCCCCGTGTCGTGGTGCTGAGATTTATTGGTGGCTTCGGGTGAAGGAAATATTTTCAGAGATAAAGGAGAAGAGGTTGATATCAGTAGCAAGCCTTTCCTATGTCCTTCCCTAGCTCCATGCAACCCCGTCATGAGGGCAGGGTCCAGGGTGACAGAGCCTGTGGTCCGTGGGGCTTTGGGCTGCTCCTGGCAGTTGACCTGCCTCAGTGGCTGCACTCTGGAGGCCCCTCAGTGTTCTAGGTTAGCCGAGGAGTGCCCACACCCCACCCCATCCCGGCCCTCCCCTTGGCAGCCCTGAAGGGTCTTGTTTCAGTCGGTTTGGAGTCCTGGCCCCACCTCAGAGGTCATTCCGTGTCTGTTCTGGGGAGGCTCTTGGAACAGATCCAGTCTTCTGGGATTGTCAGTGACTTAGAGGGGGCTCCCTGGCCACACGCCCTCTCTGAGCCGTCTGGCTGGAACTAGCCTTGAGTGGTAGGGGTGAGCTTACCATGCTGCTTAGCACAAATTTGGTATTTCATCAAATTAGATAGAAGGAACTAAGCATTGTCTTTGGTATATGAGAACTAAAGGAATTCTAGGAGGTGGAGACTTAAAATAGAAAAGCTCTCATGAGAGGATCCAGTTTTTTCTCTCAAGGACTGGAAGGTGAGTAGATCAGATTCTTCTTTTGTACTAAAGCTGCTGCACTGTGCTGTCGTGCTGGAACGCGCACACACCTGGTGCTTACCTGCGTTTGTCATTGCAGACAATTGAAAATGACTGCATCCAGGACTTCATGTACCACGGGATTCACCTCCCCAGGAGGTCCCCAGTGCACTCCAAAGTGCGCGAGGTGAGCGAGGCACTTTTCCGGAATTGACTGTGCGCTTCTTAAACAGTGTCTCATCTTGCTTGTGTTTTGATAATTGTTTTTGTTAAATTTAAAAATTAAGTTAAGCTTTCACAGGCATCAGTTAAAAGGACTTCTCAGAATTGTGATCTTTGGCATCTGGCAGTTTTATCTTGCCACCAAAGTCTTAATTAGGAGAGCAAAGACTGTTAAGGTGTCAGAACTTTATTCAAGCAATCTTTAATTAAATTCTTTGACATAAAAGTGTTCAGAATCATCACTTTCTGAGAGTATACTTTTTCCAAAAAAGAGGATATTTGAAATTATTTTTATTTACTTTCATACATTAAATTTCCATTTTGGTATTCTGCAAACCAAATGGAATAAATGTTTTGATAGCTCTCTTAGTGAGATTTTGTTTTTAAAAGGTAATCTCAGAATTTAGATGTACATTTTATCCCTATATTATTAGTAGTCTAACTAAATCAGGCTCTGCTATCAGTGTGATTATTACGCTGAGAGGTGTTTGATAGTCATAATGACCCTGGCAGGAGAAACTGGAGAAACTGGTCTGTTGTGTTGATCAGTTTCCTCACTCCAAGGTGATGCCTTCTCTGCTTGTGGTCAGTTTTGGCAACTATGTGTCAAGAAGCTAGGTGAACAAAGACTACCTCTTTACCTTTTTGTATGGTGAAATTGCTATTATTTGTAGAATATAAATATACTAAGTATATTAGTATATTTTAGTATATAGTATATAGTAGGATATTATATTATTTGAATGGATACAAAAACTTTTCTTTTAATGTTATTGATGATTTAGTTTGAGTTATCCAGAGATAAAGAACCCAGAGATAAATATATCCAGTTGCCCCCCTGGCCCCCAATTCCCAGTGTGGCTTCAGTAAGTTTTAGGTCCATTTGGGTCATTATTTCACATATATGATTTGATGTTTCAGAATCTATTTAGTCATAACGATGGCATCATGTTAAACTGTACAAATTTGTGACACACTTGCTTCACTCTTAGCAAATAATGAAAGCCTTTTTTTCATATCTGATTTTCTGCTGTGGCAGTCTAAGATATTATAAGTATAGATATCACTATTTGGTGAATTTATGGGAAAATGCACAGAAGGAATTAAAAAGAAGAATACTAAATTTCACTTTTCAAATGAAATGTATTCCTGAACTCCAAGTACTTGATATCACTGCTTATAACACTTTATGCCTTTTCCCTCAAATTCTTTTTTTTTATAAACATCATATTTATACGGTAAATCATTTTATTGACATGAAATAAGCTTCAGGAATGCTTCGAGAGTCATTTGAAAGTACAAATCCCTGTATTGTTGATAAAAATCTTCTAAAATTAGATAGCAGTGATGGTTGCACAGCTCTGAACATCCTAAAACCCAGGGAGTTGCAGACTTTAGAAGAGTGACTTTATGGTATGTGAGTTATATCTCAATCAAGCTGTTTATAAATCTTTCTATGAAGTGAGGATACCTTTGCTACCAAAACTTGATAATGTTGTACACACAAAGAACTATAGACTAATTCCACTTACCACCATCAATAAAAACTCCTAAGTAAAGAATTGACAATCAGAAAAAGAGTCCCCAGACTGTAGTTCTTTTAGGGTAAAGTTGATTCAAGTTCACGTCAAGTATAGGCTGTTGTTTTATAGTCTCTTTAACTTTTTATTTTCCATTTTTCACTAATATAATTTCAGCTTCAAGAGTTGTAGATTAAGGAAATAAGGGAAAATTGATTGTTGTTGGGGACAAGTCTGTGAAGAGAGGCAGGAAGATACTGGCTGGTAAAGAAGGGAGTAGAGGAGAACAGGAATGAAGGCTGAAAGAGTGGTCTGTTTTCTGCTTATTCATAGGTTTTGGGAGTTTGATATCTGAATTAAGCTTGTACTGTGAAGGATCACTAGGCAGTGAGACCCACTTTGAGACATAGGCCTCTTTTGGATGCCCGTTATAGATTCTTAGAACAAAAGAGATGGCAGCCAGCACGTTTTAGAACCAGAATGGGCTATAGAGACTGCCCAGCCTGGCTCCTTTACACTCTCCTATTCCATTTTACCCTGAAGGTCAGAGGTTTAAGTGATTTTTTTATGAGGTTACGTAGCTGTTGGTGGAAGAGTGGAAACTAGAACCCAGACCTTTTTATAGCACAGGGTCATTGATCTGTATTTCTCCCATAGGTTTCTTTCACATGATTAACCATGTTTAGTACTGTCAATATATCTATCCACTGTAGTCACTCTTAGGAAAGAGTTGTTGAGACTTGACTGCCTGTTTTGGTGGAGAGAACAGCCTGTTCTCCTTGTTGGTTTTTTCAAAGTAGGACCTTAAATGCTTTTTTTTAAAAACAGCATTATCTTTCTTTTCTTCTTGTTTTGGCTTTTAGGTGCTGAGTTATTTTCACCATCAAAAGAAAGTTCGGCAGGGAGTGGAAGAGATGCTTTATAGATTATATAAGCCCATCCTTTGGAGAGGATTAAAGGTATGCCTGTTAAGTACTCTATCCATGTTTGGAATGTACTAATTATGCTTTTGAATTTAGCATACTCGAATTCAAAATTGTAATAAGTAGTAAAAATAAAACTAGAGACTGGGAACTTTGTGAAATTTGGGGATGAATGTTTTATTCATTTATTAAAAACATTTTTTAGGGGCTGGCTGGTGGCAGAGTGGTTAAGTTTGTGTGTGCTCTGCTTTGGCGGCCCAGAGTTTGCAGATTTGGATCCCAGGCATGGACCTACACACTGCTCATCAATCCATGCTGTGGTAGCATCCCACATACATAATAGAGGAAGGTTGGCACAGATGTTAGCTCAGGGACAATCTTCCTCAAGCAAAAAGAGGAAGGTTGGCAACAGATGTTAGTTCAGGGACAAGCTTCCTCACCAAAAAACAAAACAAAGAAAAAAACTCACTTTTTTTTTTTTTTGTGAGGAAGATTAGCCCTGAGCTAACATCCGCTGCCAATCCTCCTCTTTTTGCTGAGGAAGACTGGCCCTGAGCTAACATCAGTGCCCATCTTCCTCTACTTTATATGTGGGATTCCTATCACAGCGTGGCTTGTCAAGTGATGCCATGTCTGTACCTGGGATCTGAACCAGCAACCCCTGGGCTGCCGAAGTGGAACATGTGCACTTAACCACTGCGTCACCGGGCTGGCCCAAAAGCTCATGGTTTTTAGGCCCGTTAAACTAGGAATCTGAATTAGTCTAGTGCTGACTACACAGTTGGAAGGGGAGTAGTTGTGCTAAGTAAACCAGCAGAGGTGTTGGAAGGTCTGCAGAGCTAATTGGACTGTCCTGGTCCTCAGGACCTCCTGCTGGTGACGGGGGAACAGGGTGGTAATATTCTAAGAAGTGTTCAAATGAACACATGAGTAATTTTCACTGCAGGTAACTCTGGTGTCAGGCGTGGGATATGATGGTCACTGTTAATGCCACAAGGAGGGCTCTGAAGGAAGGAAACAGATCTTTTAATATCTCTCGACATTCGACATTAAATTGAGAGTTTGGTGTGACTTAAGGAAGATCTCACAAGTTTGGTCAATTTAAATGTTATGATTGTCTTTAATTTGTAAATAAGTCTATATTGAGACACTAGAAACGTTACTTTAGGAACTCTATACTGAAGCCCTTGAATGTCATCTCTTTCTATTCTGAAACACTCTTTTATTATTCTAGGCCAGAAACTCTGAAGTCCGGTCAAATGCTGCACTGTTGTTCGTTGAAGCATTTCCTATTAGGGATCCTAACTTTAATGCTGTTGAAATGGATAGTGAAATTCAGAAGCAATTTGAAGAACTCTATGTACGTATTTCATGTGGTCGAGCTCCTACGGCTTTAGCTCTGTCTAGGCCTGATGTGCATCCTGGTCATCCCTCGTAACTGCCTGTGCACTGGCCCCCCAAGGGCAAGCTTTCCAGATATTGACCTTCTTCAAGGAAGTCCATTCTCTCCCTGGTAACTTCTGCAACAGCGTGGACCCGCGGTATCCTTTCTTCTTCCTCTTATCTCCTTTGGAACACCTAGTTGTTTATTACTTTATATAGTTTTAAATGTTTTATGTGTACTCTTGTTTCCCCGGCAGAGAGGCAGTATGACATAGTGGTTAAGACACACCCTGGGCTTGATTTCCTCTCTCATTTAAGCTGTGTAACTTAGGGCAGGTCACTAACTTTTCTGTGCCTTTTTCTGTGAATTACGGTTGGTGGTATTACCTACTATAAAGTTGTGGGTAGTATGAGTGAACAAACTCTGGTTGTATTTTAAGGTGAGACTACAAATAATGCTTGTCAAAATAGGTTTTTTCAGATGACTGATTTTTCAAATGAGATGTTAAGACATTAGAATGTGACATTTATCTCCAAGGGATATTGTGGATCTTTTTCATCTAGCTGGAGAGTGGTAGCCTCTGGTTGTTTCTCTCTGTTCCCTGACATTTGCAGGGTTTCCTAACACAAGCTAAAAAATATTATTTGTTGTCCTAGTTAGTAGAGCAAAATTTTAGGAGGCTGTAGCAAAAATACCATGATAATGATGGTTACCCATGGCACTCCTAAAATACTTCCTTTTGTTTGTTTGTTTTCTGATGTATTGTAAAAAAACTCAGACATGCAGAAAGTAGACATAACAGTATAATGCATATGTGTATACTTACCTTTTCATACACACATGTACATACACACATATGCACCCACATACATGCATATGCATGCATTCACTTATATATATATATGTATAAACACCCCCCACACAGACACGCACAGACCCCTGAAATGAACAGTCATTAGTGTTTTGCCATGAGTGCCTTACCTACGTGTATACGTATCTAAAATTCCTTGAGGATGATGGTTAATTTTGTGGGGCAAATGTTGCTTTGCAAACTAAAACTAGAGTTTGGTAGGTTTTAGTCAAAAAACTATGAGAAACTTGCACTTTTTATTTATTTACTTATTTATTTTTGGTGAGGAAGATTGTCCCTGAGCTAACATCTGTGCCAGTCTTCCTCTGTTTTGTATGTGGGTTGCTGCCACAGCATGGCTCGATGAGCGGTGTGTGGGTCTGCGCTTGGGATCCACGCTTGCGAACACTGGGCCACCAACATGGAACGTTTGAACTTAACCACTGTGCCACTGGGCCAGCTGTAAATTATATTAACTGTAAATTAAAGGAATCTTACTGTGAGAACATCATAGTTGGTAGAAATATCATATGAATAAAAATGTTTCCAAGATATGAAGGCTAATGGCTTTTTAGCAATTGTGTAATATGTACATGCTAATAAGTTTAAGAGGCAGGACTTATGAAATAATTATTTTACGGTGGAAAAAAATTACACATAGGAATGGCAAATTCTTATTAGAGAAAACACCTGAAAGATATTCTAAATCCTTGCTAGAATCAAAGGAACTCAACCATATTAAGATTGGAACACAGAGTAATCTATATTTGGATTAATCATCCTGAGTTTTGTTTTAGTTTTATTAACCTTTTAAAAAATAAAAATTATTAGGAGCTGGCCCCATGGCCAAGTGGTTCAGTTCGTGCACTCTGCTCAGTGGCCCAGGGTTTCACTGGTTCAGATCCTGGGCGTGGACATGGTACCGCTCATCAGGCCACTCTGAGGTGGCGTTCCACATGCCACAACTAGAAGGACCCACAACTAAAATATACAACTATGTACTGGAGGGATTTGGGGAGAAAAAGCAAAAAACAAAAGATTGGCAACAGTGGTTAGCTCAGGTGCCTATCTTTAAAAAAATAAATAGGTAAGAATTATTAAATGCTATTTTATTTGATTTTAAGGGAAGAGGAAAATTAAAAGAATTGTTCAAGTCAGTTAAATGTTTGTTCAGAACAAGAAATATTAAATTCTAATTAATTCCTGTAAATTTAAAAAATAGTAGATGTAGGTAGGGGCTGGCCCCGTGGCATAGTGGTTAAGTCCAGCATGCTCTGCTTTGGCAGCCCTGGTTTGCAGGTTTGGATCCTGGATGTGGGCCTACACCACTTATCAAGCCACACTGTGGCAGCAGCCCACATACAAAATAGAGGAAGATTGACACGGATGTTAGCTCAGGGCTAATCTTCCTCAAGCAAAAGGGAAGGAAGATTGGCAGCAGATGTTAGAGTAGTTGTATATTCTAGTTGTGGGTCCTTCTAGTTGCGGCTTGTGGGACGCCGCCTCAGCGTGGCTTGATGAGCAGTGCTATGTCTGTGCCCAGGATCCGAACCAGTGAAACCCTGGGCTGCTGAAGCAGAGTGCGTGAACTTAACCACTTGGCCCCGGGGCTGGACCACACAAAGACAAGCACAGGCCGGACTTGGCCTGCGTGTTGGTTAAGAGTTGACCGCATTGGATGAGGTACTGAGTAAAAGGAAATCAGTCTTTTAAGAGGATTGATGAAGGAGATAATCCGATAAATGAGAGCAATGATTACTTTCTGGGACCCTCCATGTGCCTTGACTGTTCTCACACGCTCTTTGCTCTGTTAGTGCTTCTCAATCCTGAGTAATATGGAGACTTGTTTTGAAGATAAGAAATTGAGGCCTCCCGTGAGTGTCTGTAGATGTCGAGATGCAGTGATTTCTCCCGTAGAAACAGCATTGCAAGTTAAGTGCCACCGTTTTGAGTGATTATCTGGTGACAGTGTGATTGGTTGGAAACAGATGTGGGCCCTGAGTTGTATGAGACTATGTGGTTATAAGGTGATTATCCAGAATATATTTTTGAAGAATAATATTGTAAGTAATTCATAGAAAACAAAATCTCTAAAACCTGTGAATTCCAAATTTAGATCCTCAGATTGCTAGAGTTTTCTTCTGTATTTTTTCTTTTTTTTTCTTGCCATTTGTTTTCTCTCAAATGATTTGTCATCTTCACTTGTCCATTTTTATCTTTGAATAAAGGATTGGGTTGATTTGGTGGTTGGCGTGGGTTTTTTTCTGCTTGTAGAGCTGTGTCTTCAGTAGGCTTCCTCCTTGAGTGCTAAGTTGGTCGTGGTTTTGCGTGAGTGGGTAAGCGTGTCAGCAGATAGGATTTCCTGTAGGTTCTGTGGATGAGGGATGGGCAGGCTGGTGACCCCACCGTTAGCAGGTAGGGAGGAGCCTTCCCTCTGGTGGGATTCTCTCCTTTTGTGTTTCCCCTGTGGAGGTTTTGCAATTGTCACTACTCCTCTGTGCTCCTGTCCCGCAGTGTGTATTTTGGGAACTCTTCCTGGCCGGTTGTTTACCCTGGGAGCAGGTGCTCACTCCTGAACCACCACGCTGTGCTGGGAATTGTTTGCAGCCCTTGTATCATCTCTAGTCCTGACCCGGGGTTTGGGCCTGGCCTGAGTCTATGCAGGGCGTAGGAATGTCCAGCTCACAGCCTTTTCTGCTCCTTTCTCCATGAATCTATTCCTTATTTGCTTTCTTTCTTGTAGGAATCTTGCAGTCTTTTTGTTTCCAGCATTGTTGTCTCTATTTTCTTATTTGTCAGTCTGGTCAGATTTTGGGGAGGAGTGGAAGTAAGTGCTCATTCATCCTAATTTGAAGCTTTTCTTTTTTTCTAATTATGGAGTAAGAATTATTTTATGTTTCTGTAAATAGAGCGCCTAGTGCGTTGAACCTCTATCCCCCTTACACCGTTTCAGTACTTGCCGACCCAAGCCTGACCTAGCTCCTCTTCCCCTGTTTGGAAGTAGATCTGAGGTGTCCTACCATTTCAACTGTAAATACTTCAGGAGGTATTGTTAAAAGATAGGGACTCTGTTTTTTTAAGTATAATCATACCGTTGTCATAACTAAAGAAAGATGAATAATGATTCCTTAATGTCATCAAATATCCAGTCCTTTTTTTTTAGCAATATTTCAGTGACTTTTTTCCAGTTTTGTTTGAATCTATGTCTAAATAAAATCCATACGTTGTGATTGGCCGATGAATTGTTTAAATCTCTTGGACTGTCAGTTCCCTCTCCAGCAATCCCTTCCTCTTTCTCTCTTTGTTTTTGTTATTGTTATCTTGCTATTTTTGTTGTCGAAGAAACCAAATTATTCTTTTGTTTCCCATGGTCTGAGTTTTACAGAACCTATTCCTGCGGTGTTCCCTGCCCTTTGTATTTCCTGTAAATTTGTAGTGGGATATAGAGTTGATGAGAGTCACGTTTTTGTAGGGATTTTGTTTATTGTGTTAGATTCTTCATGACACTTGCATACTTCCCTTGGGGTGCATAATGTCTTGTCTCTTTTTGTCCCGTTAGCACCCACTGACGAGCGTGGCCTGGATTGACTCATTACAAGTAGAGGGACTTTATTCTGGGCTGAGTGCGTTACAGCACTTTGGAAATTCACGGGAGCGGTTTCCGTAGGCTGTGTGTGCTAAGATCAACTGAAGTCTGTATTTCCCACTGAAAGTGGAGCTGGTGTCAAGGCCCTGCTGTCAGCAGAGTCCTCTGGCTGGGACTGGCACATAAGGCACCACATGTGTCTGGACTGTCCTTAAATACTCGGCTATGGAGCTGATAGCTAATCGGAGATCCATGAGTCTACATGACCAGTCTTTGTATAGCTTGAAATGTCTGTGTTGTGAACGCCCTGAGTGCTAATGTGCAGAGCAAATATTGATGTAAAGGGAACAGATTTAAGATTTTTAAGCCTTTCTCCCCCTCCTACTTATAGAGCCTTTTAGAAGATCCTTATCCGATGGTCCGTTCCACAGGGATCCTTGGTGTTTGTAAAATAACTTCCAAATACTGGGAAATGATGCCTCCAACCATTCTTATTGATCTCCTCAAGAAAGTAACTGGGGAACTGGCATTTGATACGAGCTCAGCTGACGTACGCTGCTCTGTCTTTAAGGTAAGATTCAAAATTAGATAAGTAGTATTTATTTATTGTAGAATAGTGGGAAATACCGAGAAAGAAAAATGTAATGATCCCCCCAATCCTGCTCCGTAGATTAGCACTATTGACATTTTTGTTGTATATCAAAGTAATGTTCTTAAAAACCAAATTGAAAGTGATTTCTACAAAAAACTGTCTACTTGAAATAATACTAGTTTTTAGTGGGGGGAGCACAGCATTTTACAATAGTAACTGTATGTACTTAAAAGTGGAAAAAATTATTATACATGAAAATTGACCTTTTTGCTATACTGTATGTACCTTTAATAAAAATATCCTTTCTCCAATCATCCAGCTTCAACAGTTACCAGGACGTATCCAGTCTTGTTTTTTATCTGTAGCCCCATTCCTTGTCTGCCACATGGTTACTTTGAAGCAGATCGCAGACATTATATCAGCTCATCTGTAAATATTTCAGTACGATTTTTAGAGTATAAGGTCTCTTTAAAAATAAAACCCTTTCTCCTAATAACTGGGAAAAGAAGATGGTCGGGCGCATCCGAGCTTCAGACAAGTTGGTACTGGACTGCGCTCGGGCCGGCTGCTTGGCTGCCCACCTGAGGGGTGTGTGGGTGTAGCCGTGTCGGAGTCCGAGTCTGACAGTCCTGGGGCTCTATGCCCTCTGGTTTTCATGCAACATCAAGTCAGGAAACAGAATTTTGGGGCTGTTAAAAAATATGTAAAAGGCTTCTTGAACACCAACTTTAGACGCAAACTGGCTTTGGAGCCCACTCTACCAGCAACTGTTCTGGGTTTCTTTCAACTCTAAAAATCCTTTAAAATTTAGCTGAGAAAGCATTGAAAAATTATTTTATAACTGCTTTAATCTTATTTGAGTGAAACAATGGATGAACTGATTATCAGTCATTGAAACTATACTAATTCATTAAAAGTATACTTTTTATATGAAACTTTTAGGAAAGTATTATTTTCTGTAGGTACGTTTATTTCTTTTACTAGTAGTTCTGGTAAAGATGGAACTGAATGTTTTCTTTTTTTTGTTTTAGATTGGCACCTGAGCTAACATCTGTTGTCAGTCTTTTTTTCCCTTCTTCTCCCCAAAGCCCCCCAGTACACAGTTGTGTGTTCTAGTTGTGGGTCCTTCTGGTTCCTCAGCAGGGCCTGATGAGCAGTGCTAGGTCTGCACCCAGGATCCGAACCAGCAAAACCCCGGGCCGCCGATGCGGAGCACGTGAACTTAACCACTTGGCCACAGGGCTGGCCCCTGAATATTTTCTTAACTGAGTTTTTCTTTACTGAACTTTTTATTGTTTATGTTTTAATTCTGAACTATTTATGTTTCTCCTTTCTTGTAGTGTCTGCCGATAATTTTGGATAACAAATTAAGCCACCCATTATTAGAACAGCTTTTGCCAGCACTAAAATACAGTCTCCATGACAATTCAGAGAAAGTGAGAGTGGCTTTTGTTGATATGCTGCTGAAGATTAAAGCCGTGAGGGCTGCTAAGGTAGAGTGAACCGGGTTTCCCTTATTTAAGACATGAAATCAATAAGCGCATTTGTTTTCATCAGCAAAAACACAAAGCAGTTCTTATTCCAAGAGTTTTAGTAATAACATTTTAACTAATTGAAATCTGGTATATCCTACTAATTGTTTGTGTCATAAATTTTATTTAGTTTGTGATTTTCATTGAAGTTTCTAGGAATGTCATCACTGTGTATTTTCTTTTCGAAAGGTGTTAGTGTAAGCAGCCCCTGCCTTAAATTATATTTTTATCATTTGCATGAAAGTTTTTGTTGAAATATTTAAATACTTGGCACATAGTAAGCACTTAAATACTACTTTGGAAAATGTTGAATATGAAATGCCTCCTAGCCCCACGTTTTATAGAGGGAAGCGAGGAGATACTTGTTTTATCATAATGTACATTTTGGCGTGGTGTAAAACTATTGAAGTGAGAATGTTCTTCTTTACTCTAGTTCTGTTCCGCTTTTGGCTAAAAATGTTAGTTATGAAATTCTTCATTGTTATTTGGTATTATTATTTGTGAGCTTCCTTCCTCCACACAGGAGTTCTCTGAAATTACTTTAAAAGGCCGTTTTGTCACGGCACAGGATTTGCGAACAACCTGAGAGTCCATTAGCATCGGGTCAGCCACACAGACGTGTGGTGCGTTCATGCAGTGAAATAATGCTGTGTGGCCATGAAAGGGAACGAGCTTACATGGAAATACCGCTAACATGTAAGAGTAAAAGCAAGTGTAGACGTGTGTAGTGTGCTGCCAGCTGCATAAAATGGGGAACATACAGAGATATTTTCTCAGATGCCCATAAAATATCCCTGGAAGCAAACAAGGCATCAGTAACAGTTGCCTGAGTGAGGGGGATGGGACACCCAGGGATGGGGCGCTGGGGAGGCCTGACCACTGCATGGGAGGTGCATTGTTTTATGCTTTTTGAATTTCAAACTGGGAATTTTTTTTATGTTTAAAAAAAACAACAAAGAATATTTTGTGTGACTTGTGTAGTAGGAATACCCCATGTCATACCTCGGTGCTTTTGTTGAAAGTCATTGGGCTGTGCGTGGTCTGTTCCGGACTCTGTTCTGTCTCATTGATCTGTTTGTTTGTCCTTAGCGAGGTGGCGCTGTCTCGATTGCTGCTGCTTTCCAGGAAGTGTCCAGTGAGTCCCCCAGCGCTGTTCTTTTGCAACCCTTTGGCTGGTTTAGGTCCTTTGCATTTACATATACATTTTAGAATTGGCATGTTAGTTTCAACAAAAAAGCCAGCTGCAATTTTGATTGCATTTGTTAGAACAGTCTGTTAAAACTATAGTTCTGAATCTGAAAGGGAAAATTTTGGCTTAGTATTGTGTTTAAAGTGTGAATCTGTTTGCAAAGGGTTATTGAAGTAATGGCTGGTGAGGAAATGGAGAGAGCAATTGTTTTCAGTTTATTAATGAGTCTACTCAAGAGAACGGGGCGGGGGGGGGGTGTGGGGGGAGGGACCAGGTAAGACAGGAACAAAAGGTCTGGATTTGGGGGACTAGCAAGAGCAGAGAAAGAAAGCATAGTGCTTTAATGAAGTGCTTCTTTTCTCTTAATCCTTAGCTCTGCAAAATCAAGGCAGAGCGATTGAACTGTGAGATCTCTGGAAGGTTTGTGATGGGCACACAAGCTAATTCTCCTTGAAAATCAAGGTCAAGGTTGACAGGCACGTGGAGAGGCAACTAACGGGGGTGGCTGATCATCCAGCAGGTGGGAGTGACCTGGGCAGTGTGTGCTAGGCTGTCAGGCGCTGGTTGTGCTGTGTTACCCATGGACACATTTGCACAGTCATGGTCTCCTGCAGATAGCTTTAGAAGGAATGAGAGTTGCCCTTTCTTTTTATTTCCTTTGTAAGCCATGGAGGGCTGAGCTCAGAGGGGCCCAAAGCTGCGTCTTAGTCTCAGAGGTCCTGGGCCAAATGACTGATACATGTTAGATAATAAAATTAAATAAAATTATATTGTATGGTGAAGGAGCAGTTACCAACTTAGTTAGGCTTCTGTCTGTGTTTTTCATTGTCAATGTTAGTAATTTCAAGTTGTTTACTGTTTATTTTGAAATTCTACATTTCTCGCTTGTATATCTGAGATTTAGGCTGAATCAACAGTTACTGATATTGAAACCTCTTTATTAAAAAGAATCTTAGGTTTATTAATATGCAGTTATTCTTAACATTAGAAGTGAAACGCCAGTTACCCATTTGTTACGTTCTTGTCTGTTGTAGATCTCAACCTGTGGTTGATATGTTTGGGTAAAATGAAACCTCAAGGTAACTGAAACAAAACAAATGAGAATCCTGAAGTAATCAGAATTGTTCTGCTTTTTGTTTTAGAAAAGAGAATCAAAGCAAACAAGCTAATGTGCAGAGTTTCTGGAAAGGCAGACGTGCAGGGAATGTTAGTTGTGAGAATTGCTCCTGGAACCTTGGCATTTGGTGGTACAAGGTGGCTCGTGCCCATTCAGGATGGTGTGGTCTCCAGGAGCCATCTTTTTTTTTTTTTTTTAATACACATTTGTGGATGTTGGATCCTAGTTCTTTTTTTTTTTTTTAAAGATTTTATTTTTTTCCTTTTTCTCCCCAAAGCCCCCCAGTACATAGTTGTATATTCTTCGTTGTGGGTCCTTCTAGTTGTGGCATGTGGGACGTTGCCTCAGCGTGGTTTGATGAGCAGTGCCATGTCCGCACCCAGGATTCGAACCAACGAAACAGTGGGCCGCCTGCAGCGGAGCGCACAAACTTAACCACTCGGCCACGGGGCCAGCCCCCAGGAGCCATCTTTTTAAAGTGAAAGGGGACAGACTGTGGAAAACCTCTCTTTGGGTACAGCCTCCCTGGTCGGGCCATTGTGCTGTGAGTTAAGGTGTTTCTCACGGGTAGTCATTCAGCCAGGTTTGAACTCTGAGGTCTTGAGGCTTGAAAGGCTCCCCTGAGTTCTCAAGCACAGGGCTTTCTCCTCTCTTCTTTTTCCCTCTGCGGATCTGTCTGTTGCTGTGCTTGCACGTTCTGGGAGTTGACATTCAGCTAATGCCATGGTTATTGTGGCCCAACACAAGTTCTCACTGTGGCCCCTGCTGCCAACCAGCACATGCTTGGGGAAGCAGTGATGCTGCTGCTGAGGCACTGCCCCCCAGAGAGGCTGCATTCAAGGGCTCGACAGTCTGGAGCTGTTGGCCCTGCCCCTTCACATATCTACTTCACTGCCCCCCAGAGAGGCTGCATTCTAGGGCTCGCAGTCTGGAGCTGTGGCCCTGCCCCTTCACATATCTACTTCACTGCCCCCCAGAGAGGCTGCATTCAAGGGCTCACAGTCTGGAGCTGTGGCCCTGCCCCTTCACATATCTACTTCAGTGCTGGCCTACATGCCTCTCTCATCTCCTTTCTGTGATGTTGCAGGCAGCACAGCAGAGTAGGTAAAGGGTGAATCTATTCGTTGGTTTGTGTTGAGTCACTCTGAGCCTTGGTTTCTTATCTATAAAGGGGATACTAATATCTACTTTGAGATTGTTGTGAAACTACAACAAATAGTTATGCAGAGCCCTGAAGTGTTTTGGGAAACATTTTTTGCTGGCATCATCGCCCACAAGTGTGCTAGTGTGCTGTTCAGAGTTATTCGTTGATGTACTCAGACGCAAAACTAACCGCCGATCTGGGCTGGCACCTGTGGGCAGACAGGGACCACGGCAGAGGAGAGAGGAAAGGTGAGAGAAGGTGTTAAAACTGTCAGAATGTGAATACTAGTATTTATCTTTCTTTTTCTTTTAAACCTTGAGAGCACTACCTCTAACTCGCGAATAAGTCTCTCATCGCTTCATTTCTAAGCCTCGCTCAGTGCTGGAGTTAGTTGGCAGCAGGTTCTTTTCCACGAAGCTGCCTGCCTCCCATGGGGCGAGGGCAGGAGCTGGGCCCTCTGCTCCCCTCTTCCCGTGGCTTGCTGTTGGAAGCACTGGCTCTTGTTTGCCTCCCCAGCAATAGAGTGTGAGTACGAGGGTTTGGTCTGGGATTTGGGGTTAGTTGTTGTCTTTACTCCAGTAACTTTTTCAGAAACCAAGAGGTGTCTGAGTGGAAGTGTCCTGGGAGCGTTTCAGGGGGTCATAATCAGTAGTGTCCAGTGCTCAGAGAGTTCCTCTAAGGTGAGGGCATGACTTTGTCCATCTGAATTTGCAATAAAAGGTCACTATGACCTTGGCAAGAATAACTTCAGTGAGGGTGGACTAGATCCATGTGGATTGAGGTACAAGTGAGAGTGACAGTGAAGGTCTGGGTATAGGCGGGTTGCTGAGAGGGGAGCAGCAAAGGTGGCAGCTGGAAGGAGATGGGAAACACTTCAGAGTTTTGTGTGCGGGTATTTTGTTTTAAGGGTTGGAACGATATGAAAGTACATAAATGCTGGTGAGAAAGATCTGATTGAGAATATTGAAAAGACACAAGGATCATTAGAGCCAGGTCCTCAAGAAGAATACCTGTCAGTGGTATTGTACCCATTATACAGACGAGGAAACTATTTTGAGTGTATTTGCGCAGGATTACCAGCTGATAAGTGACTGGGACAGGATTTGGACACTCCAGCATTAAAATCTCTTTTTCTCTAATTCCGTGATATTTTTTCTTGTCTTGAATTTCTTGCTTAGAAGTTTGGCCCTAGCAGGCAGTGGACAGCTTCCATGCTTTCCAGCAGAGGGGCATAGGACAGTCTGATCTTCAGTCACGTGGCAGCAGCTGTGAGCAGGGCTGGGGCCACGCTGGTCATCTAGGCAAGCTGGCCCCAGGGAGGGAGGGAGGGGCACTGCTACAGAGCGACATGCTGGGCAACCTGGGTGTTCCTGAGTGATGCCTCTGTGTCTCTGAGGTCAGAAATGGGATGTCCGTGAGCTTTCTGTGTCAAAACTGTTGTAAAGTTTTTCGCTTTTCACATTAATGGGCCGAAAGTCATGGTGTTGTAGGAAATACAGAAATTATTAGACTGATAATCATAGCTATCGTTTGAGAGTTTACTATACGTCAAGAATGGTACTAATTGGGGCCGGCTCCGTGGCAGAGTGGTTAAGTTCATGCGCTCTGCTGCGGCGGCCCAGGGTTCGGATCCTGGACATGGACATGGCACTGCTCATCAGGCCACGTTGAGGCGGCGTCCCACATCCCACAACTAGAAGGACCGGTAATTAAGATATACAACTGTGTACAGGGCGGGTTTGGGGAGATTAAAAAAAAAAGAATGGTACTAATTAATTATAATTCTCCCAACACTCTTATGCTTAGGTACCTTATCTGTCAGTGCCTTTTGTTTTTGTTTTGAGGAAGATTAGCCCTGAGCTAACTGCTGAACTGCTGCCAATCCTCCTCTTTTTGCTGAGGAAGACTGGCCCTGAGTTAATATCCGTGCCCATCTTCCTCTACTTTATATGTGGGATGCCTACCACAGCGGTGCCATGTCCACACCTGGGATCCAAACCAGTGAACCCCAGGCCGCTGAAGCAGAACGTGTGCACTTAACTGCTGCGCCACCGGGCCGGCCCCAGTGCTTTTTAAATATGGATTTATTAGTTCTAATTTCTCTACAGAAGAGTCTCAGATTCTGGTATATAGTCATTTGAAATGAATTTTCTTGAATATGAAAATCAGTTCCTTTTTGATTACGTTCTGGATATGTTGCTTAAAATCTTTTCAAGATTACAGGAACAATTGATGTTTTCCTTCTGCATGTGTGCTTTATTTATAGTTTTGGAAAATATGCCCCATGGAGCATATTTTGGTTCGCCTGGAATCGGATTCCCAGCCTGTGTCTAGGCGCCTGGTGAGCCTCATCTTTAACTCGTTCCTGCCCGTGAACCAGCCCGAGGAGGTGTGGTGTGAGCGCTGCGTCACCCTGGTCCAGATGAACCATGGAGCCGCCAGGAAGTTCTACCAGCACGCCCACAGGCACACCGCCTGCACGAACATAGGTACTGAGCACAGCTGCTCTGGTGCTTACGAGTTCTCCCTAAAGCAGAGTGTTACGTGGGCTCAGGGTTTGTCATTTTAATAAACTTTATGCTTTAATGAATTTCTTAATGGTTTCCCCTAATCTAATACTTTTATTTGGGATTATAATTTTACTATTAGAAAGATAGTTTTGTTGAAGAAACACGTAAATTGTTTTTATCTTAAACATTTTAGCAAAGCTGATTCATGTGATTCGCCATTGCTTAAATGCCTGCATACGGAGGGCGGTAAGAGAGCAGCAAGAGGACCATGCTGAGAGGGAGAAGGAGAAGGAGAATGCGAGTGTAAGTGGAACGCGCCGCGTCTGGGGGAACGCCGGACCGTGCTACCTGGTGGGGACAAGGCAGGCGCCTCTACCTCTTTGCTTGGAAGAGGGCAGAGCATTAATCATTTCCACGGACTGTTTGTTAGGAATGTTTTTGTTTTCTGTTTGTTCCTTTAGTATTGATACTTCAATTCATTATTTTGGGGTATCACAAATCATGTTTTGAAAGAATTGCTGTATATTTTTTATAGTTCATTGTGAAGTTTGGGTAGGATTTAATTCAGAGGAAAGAGGAAAATTTATTATTGGTAGCACCCTGTCTCAAATTTTCTTTGCCTTAAGCTTCTCTGTATGTTTTAATTCGACCTGAGGGTAGCATATCTGCATTGGATTTTGGACACTGTTGTATTTTACAGGGACACGAGTGGTGGCCCCCAAGGATTTAGTCCTAGCCACTGCCGTAAGATTCTACTAGAAACATCTTGGGGTTGAATGTCTGGGAATGAGCTTTATTTAGAATTATCTTTTTTAAAAAAGTAATTTATCAAAGGAACTGTTGAGCTGTTATTCCTTCAGAGTCCAAAGTGACCAGTGATATAGTAAGAAAAGAATGTTTAAGCCTTAGACTTTTACTACTTAGAAGCAGTATCTTAAGCTTATAAGTAAACTCTCATGCGTATGTCCATTGAAAGTAAAATTTTTGGATAGTTTCGTAGTGCCCAACGAGGTTAGGAAATTGGCCTTTTAAAAAGAAAGTCACAAGACATTTTATCCTTTTGCTGAGCATGGTTCCTCATGTTGGCAACAAGGCAGGGTCCCTGCATGGTCTGATCTCGCCTCACTCCCCGTCCTGTGTGCTACCACCTCTGACAGAGGCTTGCTTCCTAGGCAAGGCTGGCAGGTTTGCTCAGAGCTGAAGTTTTGGCTTTGCTTGTTCATTGGTTTCACTCCAGCCTGCCTGCATTGTGAGGACAACAGTGCTGGTCACAGTTACTCCTACGCATGCTGCCATCGCACATGTGCCCATGGACTCACACCTAGTGGGGCCACCACTCCACCAGCCCAGCCCCTGTTTAAACATTTCCTTTTCTGTTTGTCTCAGCAAGGGAAAACAGATGTGGAATTAGAAGAGAAAAGAGTGTAGAAGAGTGAGTCTGGCTTTTATCCTAACAGCTGACGCTGACTAGTGGTTTCATCAGCTCCAGGCCGTTTCAGCCTGGATTTGGGAAATCCTCATCCGAGGGCATTCAGAGTTGCTTCTGCTTTTGGTTTTGGTGGAATTTGAGTTCCTCTCTTCAGAGTTTTCCCCTCAGTATGTGGATTGCATGGGCAGAATTTTTCAGGGAAGTCATCCCATTGCTTATAATACATCTTCAGAACCTTCACTGGAGATGCCAGCATGGTGACCTCAGTCCAGGACACAGGGCATTTGGGGAGCCCCAGTGTGCAAAGTAGATGCAGCAGCGGGCAGTGAGCTAAAAGTGGCATGTGAAGGACTGAGCAGATCTCTCCGGGCCACCCTTGCAAACTCCTACTGATGGAAATGGTTTTGCAAAAGAGCAAGACATATTTTGTAACCTAACAGGTGAAAAACTATTACATTGTTTCATTATTGAAGGCACCCCCCCACCTCCATTGTTAAAACCCTAGCATTATTGAGAAACTTGTGGTTGTACAACATTTTATGTCAATATCTGTACCATTAGAAAAGGCAAGGTTTAGAAATATGTAGCTCCATTGTAACCTATGCTAGAAAAGAAATACAATTTGTCATATAGATCTTCTAATTTTAAGACTATCTAAATGGCTAAAAGCAACAATTTTTGAAGGATTCTTTTACTTTTTCTCATTGCTATCTACTAAAATCAAAGATGTTATCTGCCAAAAATAAAAAGGTGGCTTCCTATTTAATGAAATCTTGCTTAGGAACTTGGCAAAATTTTTGTAAAGAAGTAGTGACTTTCTCATGAAACTTTAATGGTAGGGCTGCTATGCTTATCAGTGGAACAGTAAAAAGTAAAATTAAATACAGAATGAAATTTTGTCAATCTGTTATTTGTATCATTCTTATAGTAGTTTCTAAGACTTTGGTAGTTTCATTGCTTTTTAAATTTGACAAAAACTCATTCAAAGTATTAAATGCCTATTGAAAAATTCAGCTTTCTATAGAAACTACCCTTAGGTTTTCTGTGTACCCCCATTAAACAAGTTAATTTTCTCCCCGGTATCTTTTTCCATTAAATTTGTATAGATAGCATAAAAATACCAATGCCTGAAATGAATCATCCTTTGCATCTGAAGGTTGTCCCCTTTCAGGAAGTTGTCTGCATTGGTATTTGCAGGTTATCAGACTCTTTGTTACAGTCACACCACAGGGCTCGTTAGCAGAGCCCATCAGTGTGGATCTGAGCTGGTCACGTCCGAGCGCAGCCTGCGGTGGTGGCAGTGTGGGTCTCTGGCTCTGTGGAGGAGAAGAGGAGTTTGTGAGAGCACACTTGTGGTTTAAACTGAACACGCAGAACATAGCAGTAGTTATTGCTCACTGCCACCACGAGTGCAGAAAATGTAAATCCGTCTATTATTTTAGAACAAACCAAAGAAGCCCATGATTGAGTGGGAGTTGATCATCGTCAGTCATTACACCAGAGTCTGGGGATCATACCCCACAAGCCCTGGAGGATGGCGGTGGCTGGCCAGAGGTACATCCAGTGTGGTCTGATGGGTGGAGTTGTAGCTGAGTCTCAGCAGTAATCACATTTAAATATATTAGGTTTTAGAGCCCTTCCCTTTCCCCATCAGTCTGTTCATATTGAGGTTTGTGGTGAGAAGTGACATCTTTTAACAAATCAGAAGCTGTATCTTGTGGTTTATACATGTTGATTTTTAGAGGATTTTTAATTCAGATAAACTGTTTATTGAAAGGATATAGGGTTAATTTAGAATTTATTTCTTGAGTGGGCTTTAAGAACAGGTTTACCTCTAATAGAGATTCTCAAATAGAGAATAAAGTCATTTTACGACTTGAAAAGAGACTTGATATCCTTTACATTTCTGCCTTAGGCCTGGAATTCTGGGATATGCTGTTATCTTAATACTTGTTATGGTTTGATTCTTTCACAATAAAATTATTTGTGTCTTAGGTTCTGGACAAAACACTGTCAGTAAGCGATGTTGCATCCATGGCAGGTTTATTAGAAATCGTTGTGATTCTATGGAAGAGCATTCACAGAAGTATGGAAAACAATAAAGAGGCCAGAGTTTACACCATTAACAAGTTTGCCTCTGTGCTCCCTGAGTACCTGGAAGTGTTCAAGGTAAGGCTGGCCGCGCTTGTCAGCAGGCTTGGTGAGATGGCACCGTGCAGTTTGCAGAAGTACCCGCACTCTTTCCTCTCTGTGCCTGGCTCCTCGTCTGTGGCAGGAGAGGCTGAGCCGGCACTCGCCCTGCAGGCCAGCCAGCCTCGCCCTTCTCAAGGATCGGGGACATGGCTCTTTCAGGGTCCTGTCCCAGCACCCAGGGAAGTGTTGGGCGAGCTCTCAGGTTTTCTGTCTCTAATAGTCTGGGACACGATTTTAGAATCCAGTCTCACTTGCTGGGAATTGAGAAAGAGGAGTCTGTGGACATCAAGATACACTAGCACCGAAGTTTTGGGGCAGTTTTAGGCATTTGGCAACACACTGTAAGCTAACATGTTTCTGACGTATCTGAGTTGTGTCTGCGTTCTTGGGACAGACAGACCCAGGTGTGTGACTTCTGTTTGGATGAAGGAAACCTTCTCATTCCTTGACTTCTTACTTCTGAAGGAAATTTATATTTCAAAAACAAAAATAAGACTGATAGCTAAAAATGCAAATTTGTTCCCAATTATGAAGAGAGCATGGTTTAAGTATAGAAAGATCATAGGTCTTATGAACCACCCTTCTTTCGGTAAATGTTACTCTTGGCTCTTCTACAACTGCTTATGTGTCCTGGGACCTCTTAGCTTTTCTGAGCTGTATTTCTGTGACTGTCGCATCTCTGAGCTTCATTCTGCCTCTAAAATACAAACGTGAGCTGCCCATGAAAGTAAATCTAGGTTGCCGAAGTTACTAGGGCATTTGAAAAGCTCAAAATAATTACACTGGGGTGAGAAACCAGCACTATCAGAAATCTCAGAAGATATACACAGAAGCCCATAGGACACTGGATGAGATGGCAAATGAGCAGTGTGGCCTGGGGATGTCCAGGAAGCCCAGGAAGGCCGTTAATTAATTCAGTTAGTTCCAAATGATTCTGGCAAGAGAGCCTCTCTCCCCTCAGTAGCTGAGAATATTGTGGTCATCCAATAAGTGAATATACAATCTATAACCCGCACATAGAGTGGAATCAGCAGCAATTACCAGTGTAATTCTGTAACATTAAGAAAATATTTTCCTTTTTTGTTAGGAGTTAGGGGTAAGGGTGGGTTTATTCTAACTGAATGCATATTAATTACAGATCAGATTTTGATGTTGCTCCTATTTCTGTTTCATGTATATTTTCAGGGAAATTGTTATTTCTTTTTCTTTTAGAATTCACCATCCCTCATTCTCCCAACCAAACAAGGATATTGTTTTGCTTTGTTTTGTTTTTTTTTTGCTGAGGAAGATTTGCCCTGAGCTAACACCTGTGCCAGTCTTCTTCTATTTTATATGTGGGTTACCACCACAGCATGGCTGACAAGTGGTGTAGGTCTGTGCCTGGGATCTGAGCCCATGAACCCAGGCCGCCAAAGTGGAGTGCGCCGAATCTAACCACTACACCATGGGGCCAGCCCCAAGGATATTTTTTTTTTTTTTAAGATTTTTAAAATTTTTTTTCCTTTTTCTCCCCAAAGCCCCCCAGTACATAGTTGTATATTCTTTGTTGTGGGTCCCTCCAGCTGTGGCATGTGGGACGCTGCCTCAGCGTGGTTTGATGAGCAGTGCCATGTCCGCGCCCAGGATTCGAACCAATGAAACACTGGGCTGCCGGCAGCGGAGCGCACGAACTCAACCACTCAGCCACGGGGCCAGCCCCAAGGATATTTTTTATTGAGTGTTCTTGATTGAGTCTGGTCTACTGTTTGCTTTATTGTTGTAATAATAATAATGTAGCTACAGTTTTTCAGCACTACCATGTACTAGGTACTGTCATTGGTTCTGATGTGGTTTACCTCACTCAGTTCTCCTAATAACTCTTTCCCGTTTTGCAGAGGAGGAAACTGAGACTCAGAGACTCCAACCTCTTTGCTCTGTGTTCCAGCTAGTTAGCTTGTGGAATCTGATTGGACTTGGATTTGGCAAAGTAGCTCCAAAGTCTGTACATTTTCCATTAAACTGCCGTCTTCCTAAAGATATTCTCATTATTTTATTTAAAATTTTTTCTTTGACTAGTTTCATTCTCTTGAGATTTATGTTCAGGATACCAAGTGTGTAGAGTTAATTTTTTTCCTTTCATCAGTATTTTTACAATAGACGTTAGTGCCTTGACACAAGGAATTTTGTCTATTCTGGGTACTGATGTATCCCCAGGATCTAGATTGGTGCCTGGTACACAGTAGGTGCTTAATAAATATCTGGAAAAATTAATGCATCACACAAAGTCGTGGAATATCATATAAAACGTTGAGAATACGTCTCAAATGTGAAGTTTACCAATAGGTGTAAGTTTTCCTGTTGAGCATTGGGAGGATTACTCTAGTTCCTACTGAGTGACTTTGAAAATAGGTTATTGGGAAGCTTTATGAACAGGCTTTCAAAACGTCATCGTGTTTAAATACCCTTTTGTTTTGTTTTCTTTTTATGCTTTTAGGATGATCGGTGTAAGATCCCTTTGTTCATGCTGATGTCCTTCATGCCTGCTTCTGCTGTGCCTGCATTCAGGTATTCTCTCTGCTTTTCAGGACAGCAGTGAGGTGGGAATCCTGCGTCATTGTGCTTAGGTGTCAGATGAATGTCAGATTCAGCAGACTGTCACACCTCAGTTCCAAGTCCAAAGCCACTTCCTCCCTCCTGTCTCCCTCTCCCTGTGGCAGGGAAAATAGCCGGGTGCAATTTCTGGTGGCTCTGGAGTGCTAAGGAAGGTAGGAGGAGACTACGTGGCACTAAAACAGTCTCTGAGCTGTAACGTCTGGGCTATTTGTAAAGCCCGATGTGATGAGACTCTGAAGCTGTTATCCGCCATGGAGCCGTGGGCTGCATGTGGCTCTGACGGCTGGAACATGGCTCTCTGGGTTGAGAGGTGCTGTGAGTGCAGAATGCACACACCGAGACTTGGTGTGAAAAGAAGAATGTAAAGTATCTCATTAGTAGTTTTCTATGTTGATTACATCTTAAAATGATGTTGTGGATAGATTGGGTTAAATAAGATATATTATTGAAATTAATTTTACCTGTTTCTCTTTGCTTTTTTAAATGTGGCTACTAGAAAATTAAAAATGACTTACATGGCCTGCTTTTGTGGCTTGCATTATATGTTTTTTTGGACGATGTTGCTCGAGTGTTGGTTATTATCTCAGTAAAAATTACTTATTTTTATTCATATTATGAAAAATGGATGTTTTGATGCTAAACAAAAATTATTCCTCCAAAATTAGGGTTCTTTGCTCTAGAGTCTGACAGAGGTGACACAGACATGAAAGGCTGGGGGTTTTATGTGACTGATGTGTTCTTGATAACTTAATACCTATGTTGGTATGTCTGGACTGTGTTGAGTCTAATATTCCTAAAGCTGCTTTCAAATTCAGTATTTTGTATTGAAACTTATCTCCTGTAGTAATTGTGAGAAAACAATATAATTATTCTGCAGCAGAGAATGTCCAAGAGTTCCTGTGATAGGAAGGGCTTAAGTACCCTCAATTTTTGGCTTCTTTATTTTCCTCACCTTTTAGAAAAGTGGGAAATTGTTATTGAAATATGAGATCTGATTTTGTGTATTTGACATTTTCAGCTGTGGTGTGATTTCCACGTTAAGAAACCAAGAGGAAGGAGCAGCAGACAAGAGCTACTGCACTTTGTTAGACTGTCTCTGCTCCTGGGGACAAGTGGGACACATTCTGGAACTCATCTGTGACTGGCTGCCAGATGAGCAGCCCCAGAGTAAGGTATATTTGTATCATGTTTCTTTAAATTTGCTGAATGAGGATAACTCTGTATTAGAAATCTGCATGGTTTCCCGGAAACATATGTTTTATTTATCAGTTTACTGCTCTCTGTTCTTTCAGAGTAACTCAGTGTCTAAACGTAAAGTGCAAATCCGTGATACACGCCCAGTCAAACCCGAATTGGCGTTGGTTTACATAGAGTATCTGCTGACCCATCCGGAGAATCGAGAGTGCCTGCTATCGGCTCCCCGAAAGAAGCTTAACCATCTTTTGAAAGCACTTGAAACGTCCAAGGTAACTTTCTAGAACAAATACAGGCCCTGTGAACGTTGAGTGATTCCATGAGTCATAGGAGTGATAAAGTAAGATTAAATTTTTCATATTTGTAGTATAAATTTTTCCAGCGGGAAAGGAGTTGTGTTATCTGGCCCCTTCCTCCAGTGTACAGGCGAGGACATCAAACTCAGGTGACTAACTGGGTGGCAAGATGGGGACTAGGTCACAATTTCCAGGCCTTTCAGCCAAGTGGTGTTCAGAGCCCAGTGTTTTGTCAAGGCTGACTCCTGCGAATAACCCTGTTTTTGTGAACACGGGTCTGCAGGAAGACTTCCTGTCACCCTCAAGCTCTGTTGCTCTGCTCCTGCCCATTGTCGTGGGAATCCTGATTTCCCCTCAGTCCTTGGCAGGCTTTTCTAGGAATCGGTGGAGCATTCCTGTGAATTCACCATTTTCCTCCTCTCCTTCCTGGCTCTCTGGCCATCTCCTCCAGGGCCAGGCCTCAGAAACAGCCTGTTAGTGCTGCTGAGCTTGGTTGTGCCAGTGGCAGAGCCTCCGGTGCACCAGCGCCAGGCACCAGGTGGGAGAGGAGGGAGGTCTGAAGGGGAGAGGTGCACAGCACTCAGGGGAGGAGGTGGCGGGGCTGATGGCAAGCCCAGTACCTGGCCATGCGCTCCCTCAAGGCTCTCCAGCGTTCATGTCCAGGTGGGGGTGGGCAGCGCTGGGATTTTGCCCATGGACTAAGCTGGGCACCGGCTGCACTGGTGTAGAAAGTAGGGCTGCCTGTGGGTTCTGGGAAAAGGGTGGATGTATTTCCCGTCAGGCTTTCCTAGCAGGGGCACAAATGGTATTGTCACCTATTCAATGCTGGTGGGACACCCACCCCTCCATTGTGACAGCCAAACCCACTCCCACACATTTCCAAACACTCACGCTGCTCCTGCTGGGTGCAAGATGAGGGAGTTGCAGGCAGGCGGGAGGGTCTCACTCTGCCTGAGTGGCGAGGGACTGTTCCTGGGAGGCACTGCCTCTCTCTCTGTGTTGTCGGTCTGTCCTAACAGCACCGTCTTTCTTTGCAGACCTGGCCTCTCACCCCCAGCAGGCCAGAACCTACCCCAGGGGCAAAGGCTTTAACATACTCGCTCCTGACAGCTCCTTAAGCAATAACTTAAAGTTACGTTCTTGAGGGGAGAGGAAGGGAAGACACTGCAGACTTCTCAGAAGGCTTTGCTGTGCTGCTGAATCACCTCTGTTGCTCCACGTGTCCCTCTTGAAGCGCAGCTTTGTCAGGTGCTTCCGATCATCCTGGCCATGACTTATCAGTCAGAACGCAGCCTACAGATTTTTTTATTTTACAGGTGGATCTGGAATCAATTTTGCAATTGCCAGGTGTGAAACCTCACAACTTTAATGAAGCAACTGCCCTGCGAGCCTTCAGCCTCTATTGTCGGTTGAGTATTCATCTTCAGCACAAGGTGCGTCCGTCCCTGGCTCTGTATCAGAATAAGAAGCGCATTGGCACGGCTGGCCTAGTACTAATTCATCTTTCTGTTGTTGGACAGTTCTGCTCAGAAGGAAAGGTTTACCTGTCCCCTTTGGAAGACACTGGGTTTTGGTTAGAAAGCAAAGTTTTATCTTTTATCCAAGATCAAGAAGAAGAATATCTGAAGCTTCATAGGGTCGTTTATCAGCAAATTATCCAGGTTAGAAGTCTTAAGACGCAGAAACCTTTTTATTTACGAAGTTTGTGATGTGTTTCAAGATTTTATTTTCTGTTTTAAAGTTGTAACTTTAGACGTAATGTTGCTCTTCTTAAATCCTTACAGCGGCATTTAAAGATCTGTAGTTTATCTTTTCTCAAAGTATAGACTGCATAATTTTAAGGTAATTTTACACATTCCATGTAATAGTGTTCAGTAATGTTTATGGAATTACGTAAAATGTGTTTCTGGATTTCTTATCAAAACAAAAATTAGAATTAATGTGTCTTTGTGGGAATCCTTTATAAAAATATCTGCTTTGTAAGATAACTGGTAGGACATCAGATGTGAGAGGCTTTGCAAGCCTGGATTTGTTCCCTTTTTTCCCTTTCTGTGGCCTTTGTTGGTAAATCACATCAGCACATCTGTCTCTTACAGACCTACCTGACCGTGTGTAAAGATGTTGTTATGGTTGGCCTTGGCGATTGTAAGTTTCAGATACAGCTTTTACAGTGGAGTCTTGGAATCATGCAAACAGGTATACTTCGTTCATTAAAGGACTAGTTTAGAGCAATTAATAATCAAAACCACTTCCTCTCTCCCTCCCTTACTTTTCTGGTCAGCACTCTTGCTTTTTTTGTGTGTGTATGTATGAGGTAGATTGGTCCTGAGCTAACATCTGTTGCCAGTCTTCCTCTTTGTGCTTCAGGAGGATTATCGCTGAGCTAAGATCTGTGCCAGTCTTCCTCTATTTTATATGGGATGCCACCACAGTGTGGCTTGATGAGCAGTTCTAGGTCCGTGCCCAGGATCTGAACCTGTGAACCCTGCAGCCAGGAAGTTCACAGGTGTTTCTGGCATTGGATGTGATGAAGTCCAGTTTCTGACGGGGCCTTGGGCTTCTGCTCCTTGCAGTTTGCTTGATTGTCAGGGGACTTGCCGTGTGGGAGGCTAGCGCAGTGGCAGCCCCTTGCCTCTCTGCTGCTCCCCACTGGCATCTGTATGGCAAAGCTCACAGAATAGTTCTCTTATCTGCTCTGGACACTGGGGATGGTAAGTCAGGGGATGTTCAATGCCCCCTAGAACCCCTGGGAAGTGTGTGTTACCCCACGGACAGGGGTGACAGGGTCAGCCCTGGGACTCATCCCATGGTGCTCATGCTGGCTGCATACTAGGTGCTAAGTGAAATGTGTTCAGTGAGGGAGTGAGAAGTCTGCCTCCTTATAGGTGGTCTGGGCAGGCTGGCCACTGGAGCTGGGCTGTGTGATGTTCTGGAGCATCCTACCCGTGGGTCCCCAGGCCAGCTTCTCACAGCCTATCACATGATGGCGGGAGGAGTTGGGGTATGGTCCAGAGTGTCTCCTCCACCTCTGGTCACACTGGCTAAGAAGTATCCTGCTGGGCTGTGACCCACAACCCTGACCCTGCCGCCTCCCTGGGGTAGCTGAATTGCTGTATGGAGCTGTTTCTAAATTTTCTGAGTTGTTCTTACTACACATCCCCACGCTATGTTTGGTTCTTTCTGAGATCTATGGAAACTTGAAAATTTGACATTTAAATTCCTTTAAGCCTACATATTTACTAGAAGAGATTGAAAATGATATAATCTAGCAAATTCAACATTAAGTTTTGAAAATTAGATTCAATGAGTCAATAGTTAAGTTCACAGTTAGTCATCTGGAGTCTTCAGTCTCGTCATGCAGACCCCAGAGGATTCTTGTCAGCAACTTCCGCCGTGTTTTTCTCTCCGTGCTTCTGGCACTGAGGTTGGTACTTGTGCTGTGCTGGAGCTGGGGTACTGGCCACTCTGTTCTGCTGTTTCGAGTATACATCCCCTTGAATTAATCTGTACTCACAAGCAAGATTATACATTATTTATTTAAAATATCCACAAAGACTAAGTATTAAATAAAACAAATATTTTGTTTTAAAGTCTAGCTTTCTTTTGTTTAACTCTTTATAACTCTTACTTTCTATTGTGAAAACAGCAGGTTAAACTTAAGCTTAATGATTGAAACATTAAAAATAATTTGCATCATTTAAATTTCATTTATCATTTAGGAATTATTTTCTCCTAAGAACTGAATCTATTTTTTGTATTTATAAAATTCATTTTCCAGGGAGCTAAATAGAATTTCGATCTCAGTGTAACTAGTTTCATTGTATAGAGGCGTCTCTTCCCCCAAAATGAGGCCCTAAGCTATTGACTTTATCTTTGACCAAACTGAAGCAATCTTTGTACTTATACTTTCCAATAATCAGCATTTCCCAGGAAAGAATCAACTGTGTGGTCATTTTTTATAGTCTTGTCACAAATAGGATTATACTTAGCAATTTAGCTAGGTAGACCCAGAGTCCACTGATCACTGGACTTTTTGCTCTACTTGAAAGAGTCCTAATAAAGCGTTTTAATTAAAGCCAGTCGCATTTATATTAATATTTAAGTATGGCGTTTTCTATGCTGAAGTGCATATTCCAGAAGAGAGGTCCTTGAATACAGCTGAGTCCCCACACATAACCCAAATGTAAAAATCTAAGCTCACAAAAATGCAGGTGTTTCTGCTCTAACACAGTGTGTGTGTTTCAAAAAACACCATGCATTCTGCAAAATCAGGGACTAAAAGTCAGAGGCTTTTGGGAAAGATGACTGTGCAGATACTCAGTGACACTTATTGACAGCGCTAGTACATGGTCATCTTAGCAAGAAGTAATGAGTACAATGAAAAAGGAAGGTTAAATTTCTAATAAATAAACCTTACAGTAAATATAGGACTTTGCCTTCAATGAAAAGGTAAAGGGAGATTGATGGAGACCGCGGCCACCTGGTAGAGCTGGAGAGAGCTGGGCAGGAGGGACTCCCGGGACAGAGCACGCGCCTGTCTGAGCCAGAAGGAGGACGCTCCACAGGCTCGTACGCTGAGCTAGTTCTCTGTGACTGCTGCCCTGGGCCGGGCTAGTGAGCTTCTGCTCATTTGCAGACACGTGATAGCCTGAGATATTAACTGCTGGGAAAATCCTAGCAGCCAGCACGCCATCAGTGTCAAACTGACATCTCTCCCAGCCCAGCAACTGTTTGTGAGCTGATTCACTCTCAAGAAGTAATAACTTCCAAAGTCAATGTCTTCTACTGTACATTCCTATGAATTCTGATACATCTTTAGTAATTTGTGCTGTTTTACTTAACCACTATCTCTCTCTATATTTGGTTATAAGGCACATACTGCTTGAACATAATGAAATAGCTTTGAATTAGAATTTTCAACTTTCCAGGTTTTTGTCACTAATTAAAAGTACTGACTAAGTGTGTGGTTCTCCCCCATGAACCATGACTGTGAGGATGGATGTCAGAAGACTGGCCCTCTTCTTTTCAGGGTCCTTTACGCTTCAGCACATCAGTCTCTGTGCTGCTCGTGTTTGATTTAGCCCAGCATTTCCTTGCTCACCCACATATGTGGAGAATGTGTGTCCCTTTGCCTTCTTTTATTATTATTATTATTTTTAATTTTTTAAAATTTTTTTATTATTTTTTATTGAGTTAATGATAGGTTACAATCTTGTGAAATTTCAGTTGTACATTATTGTCTGTCAGTCGTGTTGTAGGTGCACCCCTTCACCCTTTGTGCCCACCCCCCACCCCACCTTTCCCCTGGTATCCACTGATCTGTTCTCTTTGTCCACATGTTTAAATTCCTCATATGAGTGGAGTCATACAGAGATTGTCCTTCTCTATCTGACTTATTTCACTTAACATAATTCCCTCAAGGTCCATCCATGTTGTTGCAAATGGGACGATTTTGTTCTGTTTTACAGCTGAGTAGTGTTCCATTGTATATATATACCACATCTTCTTTATCCAATCATCTGTTGATGGGCACTTAGGTTGCTTCCACGTCTTGGCTATTGTAAATAATGCTGCAGTGAACATGGAGGTGCATAGGACTTTTGGAATTGTTGACTTCAGGTTCTTTGGATAGATACCCAGTAGCGGGATAGCTGGATTGTATGGTAGTTCTATTTTTAACTTTTTGAGGAATCTCCATACTGTTTTCCATAGTGGCTGCACCAGTTTGCATTCCCACCAGCAGTGTATGAGGGTTCCTTTTTCTCCACAACCTCTCCAACATTTGTTACTATTAGTTTTAGATATTTTTGTCATTCTAATGGGTGTAAGGTGGTATCTTAGTGTAGTTTTGATTTGCATTTCCCTGATGATCAGCGATGATGAACACCTTTTCATGTGTCTATTGGCCATCTGTATCTCTCCTTTGGAGAAATGTCTGTTCATGTCTCCAACCCATTTTTTGATGGGGCTGATTGATTTTTTGTTGTTGAGTTGTGTGAGTTCTTTATATATTATGGATATTAAGCCTTTCTCAGATGTATTACTTGCAAATATTTTTTCTCAGTTAGTGGGTTGTTTTTTTGTTTTAATCCTGTTTTCCTTTGCCTTGAAGAAGCTCTTTAGTCTGATGAAGTACCATTTGTTTATTCTTTCTATTGTTTCCCTTCTCTGAAAAGACATGGTGTCCGAAAAGATCCTTTTAATACTGATGTCACAGAGTGTACTGCCTACATTTTCTTCTAGAAACCTTATGGTTTCAGGTCTCAGCTTTAGGTCTTTGATCCATTTTGAGTTTATTTTGGTGAATGGTGAAAAAGAATGGTCAATTTTCATTCTTTTACACGTGGCTTTCCAGTTTTCCCAGCACCATTTGTTGAAAAGACTTTCTTTTCTCCATCGAATGCCCTCAGCTCCTTTGTCAAAGATAAGCTGTCCATAGATGTGTGGTTTTATTTCTGGGCTTTCAATTCTATTCCATTGATCTGTGCACCTGTTTCTCTACCAGTATCATGCTGTTTTGATTACTGTAGCTTCATAGTATGTTTTGAAGTCAGGGATTGTGATGTCTCCAGCTTTGTTCTTTTTTCTCAGGATTGCTTTAGCAATTCGGGGTCTTTTGTTGCCCCATATGAATTGTAGGATTCTTTGTTCAATTTCTGTAAAGAATGTCATTGGGATTCTGATTGGGATAGCATTGAATCTGTAGATTGCTTTAGGTAGTATGGACATTTTAACTATGTTTATTCTTCCAATCCATGTACATTTGGAATATCTTTCCATCTCTTTATGTCATCATCCATTTCTTTCAGAAAAGCCTTGTAATTTTCATTGTATAAGTCTTTCACTTCCTTAGTTAAATTCACCCTGAGGTATTTTATTCTTTTTGTTGCGATTGTGAATGGTATTGTGTTCTTAAGTTCTTTTTCTGTTAGTTCGTTATTAGAGTATAGAAATGCTACTGATTTATGTAAATTGATTTTATACCTGCAACTTTGCTGTAGTTGCTGATTACTTCTAAAAGTTTTCCAATGGATTCTTTGGGGTTCTCTATATATAAGATCATGTCGTCTGCAAACAGCGAGAGTTTCACTTCTTCCCTCCCTATTTGGATTCCTTTTATTCCTTCTTCTTGCCTAATTGCTCTGGCCAGGACCTCCAGTACTGTGTTAAATAAGAGTGGTGATAGAGGGCATCCT